AAGAAAATCGTCAGAAGAACCTAGGGGCCAGACGGGAATAAAGATGCAGACCTACTAGAGAATGGACTTGAGGATACGGGGAGGGGGAAGGGTAATCTGGGACAAAGTGAGAGAGTGGCATGGACATACATACTCTCCCAAATGTAAAATAGATAGCTAGTGGGAAGCAGCCGCATAGCACAGGGAGATCAGCTCAGTGCTCTGTGACCACCTAGAGGGATGGGAAAGGGAGGGTGGGAGGGAGACGCAAGAGGGAGGAGATATGGGGATATACGTATATGTATAGGTGATTCACTTTGTTATAAAGCAGAAACTAACACACCAGTGTAAAGCAACTATACTCAAATAAAGTTGTTAAAAAAGAAAAAAGAATAAGAGACATTAAAGACTAAAGCACATGGTTTGTGTAAAAGGCTTTACAGTAAAAATAAGAGAAGCACTAGCAAATCCTCTTAAAGGTAAATATTAGACAACAGTTCCTTAAAATACATGAACGATTAAAACCCTTAAGGGAAGGGGAGTTATCAACTGGAAAGGGGCATGAAGCAACCTTCTAGGGGCTGGAAATGTTCTAGTTTGTGGTTTATATAGTACTTAAAAATACGAGCAGCTGTACAGTTAAGATTAGTGCATTTTACTCAACATCTATGTAATTTCAGTGGAAAAAAATGCAGAGATCAAGTATGCAGTATAGGATTTAATCACTTAATTCCAGATTAAGTGTGACCATGGACAAGACACTCAACTTCTCAATGTTTCAATTTGCTCATCTGTAAAATTAGTATATTAGAAAACCTCACAGAATTGCACTTAGAACAGAATAAGTTCTGTATTTTTAAATCAATGGGTGGTAACTTTTTCCAGCTGATAGGTCTAATTTCTAGTCTCTTTCTCTTTTCCTTCTTGAAATGAATCATGAACACAGCATTTATTACATAGCAGAACAAAACTAAATGCTGTATTTGAAAAATATTTTTGTCAGTAGAGTCTGAATGATAAATCGTCAGCCTATCACCACCTCTCAAGCCTTCGGATGAAGGGTCTCTGTGATTACAGTAGGAGGAGCCAAGTGCACCTCAGGAGGGGCTGTGTGATTTATTATTGGTCCCCCGTCACCTTGGGCATGCATGTTAAGGCTGCCAATCCCTAATTAAACTAGAATGAGTGAAGAGTGACTTAAAATCTTTTGCACAGTGAAGGAAACCATGAACAAAACGAAAAGACAGCCCTCAGAATGGGAGAAAATATTTGGAAACAAAGCAGCTGACAAGGGATTAATCTAAAAAATATATAAACAGTTCATGCAACTCAATATCAGAAAAAACAAACGACACAATCAAAAAATGGGCAGAAGGGCTTCCCTGCTGGCGCAGTGGTTGAGAACCTGCCTGCCAGTGCAGGGAACACGTGTTCGAGCCCTCGTCCAGGAAGATCCCACATGCTACGGAGCAACTAAGCCTGGGCGCCACAACTACTGAGCCTGTGTGCCACAACTACTGAAGCCCATGCGCCTAAAGCCCATGCTCCACAACAAGAGAAGCCACTGCAATGAGAAGCCCGTGCAATGCAACGAAGAGTAGCCCCCGCTCGCCACAACTAGAGAAAGCCCACACACAGCAACAAAGACCCAATGCAACCAAAAATAAATTAATTAATTAATTTTAAAATAAATGGGCAGAAGATCTAAATAGATATTTCCCCAAAGAAGACATACAGATGGTTAAATACCGTATGCTAACACATATATATGGAATCTAAAAAAAAAAAAAAGGTCATGAAGAACCTAGGGGCAAGACAGGAATAAAGACGCAGACCTACTAGAGAATGGACTTGAGGACACGGGGAGGGGGAAGGGTAAGCTGGGACAAAGTGAGAGAGTGGTAGTGTATATATGGACATATATACACTACCAAATGTAAAATAGATAGCTAGTGGGAAGCAGTCACATAGCACAGGGAGATCAGCTCAGTGCTTTGTGACCAGCTAGAAGGGTGGGATAGGGAGGGTGGGAGGGAGGAAGACGCAAGAGGGAAGAGATATGGGGATATATGTATACGTATAACTGATTCACTTTGTTATAAAGCAGAAACTAACACACAATTGTAAAGCAATTATACTCCAATAAAAATGTTAAAAGAACCCCAATGCAGCCAAAATAAATAAATATATTTATTTTTTAAAAAGGCACATGAAAATATGTTTAACATCACTAATTATTAGAGAAATGCAAACAAAAACTACAATGAGGTATCATCTCACACGGGTCAGAATGGCCATCATCAAAAAATCTACAAACAATAAATGCTGGAGAGGGTGTGGAGAAAAGGGAACACTACTACACTGTTGGTGGGAAATGTAAGTTGGTAAAACCACTATGGAGAGCAGTAGGGAGGTTCCTTAAAAAACTAAAAATAGAGCTACCATATGATCCAGCAATCCCACTCCTGGGCATATATCTGGAGAAAACCATAATTCGAAAAGATACATGCACCCCAGTGTTCACTGCTGCACTATTTCCAATAGTTAGGACATGGAAGCAACCTAAATGTGCATCAACAGAGGAATGGATAAAGATGATGTGATATATATATACAATGGAATACTACTCAGTCATAAAAAAGAACGAAATAATGCCATTTGCAGCAACATGGATGGCCCTAGTGATTGTCATACTGAGTGAAGTAAGACAGAGAAAGACAAATATAATATAATATGGCTTATATGTGGAATCTAAAAAAAGGGTACAAATGAACTTATCTACAAAACAGAAATAGAGTTACAGATGTAGAAAACAAACTTATGGTTACCACGGGGTAAGGGTGGGGGAAGGATAAATTGGGAGATTGTGGTTGACATATACACACTACAATATATAAAATAATAAGGACCTACTGTATACCACAGGGAACTCTACTCAATACTCTGTAATGGCCTATTTGTGAAAAGAATCTAAAAAAAGAGTGGATATATGTATATGTATAACTGATTCATTTTGCTGTATACCTGAAACTAACACAACATTGTAAACCAACTATACTCCAATTAAAAAAAAAAGTGTGACTACAAGAGTAAGTTTTTGACTACATATCTTTCCCCTTATAAAGCTGACAGAAGCACCGTACTCAGAGGAGGCTGAATGATAGGTAAAATGGACTTTGTTACAAATGGGCAGCTACGAGAAGCAGGAGAGTCAGTCAAGAGAGTGCCAGAACAGGGGTCAAGAAGGCAAGAGTTTAGCACCCAGTTCCACCACTAACAGGCAAGTGTTCTCTTTGGGCATAATATTTCTGACTTGTAGGACAGGGGTAAAGTAGTTACCAGAGGGTTATTACAGAAGCAAGTGCAACAGTGCAACAGTGCAACAGTCGGCAGCCTCACCTCTTTCGGGGTTGGGAGGTTGGGTTTGTGTCCTTGCTGCTCCTCAAAGCTTCTCCCAGGCCATGACCTCTCTACTGCTTCCAACACCACCTATTCACAAATGACTCACAATGTTTACCTGGGCCAGTAGCCTCCTCTGAGCTACACAGCCACACACTCAACTGCCTACCTGACGTCTTGTTTCAGCTATTTCAAAAGCGTTTCCAATCCAACATGCCCAAGTGTGAACTCAAGAGCTGTCCCTGCCCATACTTGGTTATCTTCTACTGTTTCTCTATCAATGAAGGGCACCATCTATCTGGATAGGAGAGCCAGAAACTCAGTGCTATGTTTGAAATGTCTCTCTCCTTCATCGGCCCATGTGTAATCCATCAGCAAGAACTGTCACAATTATCTTGTAAACATGTCCAGAATCCATTCACTTCTCTCCATCTCCACTGCCACCACCTTAGTCCAAACCACCACCATTTCTCAGTAAGCTTTCCAGCTGTTAAGTCTCCTACTAGTTTATCTGCCAATCCATTTAAAAAAAAATACAAATCTGACATCATGACCCCTCCCCCCATTAAAATACCTCAAGGGGCCTTTTAAGATAAAGACAAACAATCTTAACAAAGGTTACAAGGCCCCCATTTACCTACCAATTTAATCAGTCAACTTTTCTTTTTACTCCCTGTATTCTGGCCAAAATGCCCTTCTTTCAGTTCTTGCCACGTTCTTTCTTGCAACAGGGCCTTTGCACATGCTGTTCTCCGTGGCTGGGACTCAATTCCTCCCTGCTTTGCCTAGTGACCCCGCTTCATTTTTTAGGGCACAACCATCACTTCCTCAGACAGGACTTTGTTGACTCTCCCACACCAGGACCTATCCCACCTAACCCCCTGGCAACCCGCAATCCTACACTAACCCAACTACCTGCTTTCTTTCTACCTGTGCCTGGATCTGAGCTGCCAAGTGTTGCTGGAGAAAGTCACTGAGGTGTTCTACCACCCTCATATGCTCCTTCAAGAAAGTCCTGCCAGGACAGGAATAAAGACGCAGACGTAGAGAGTGGGCTTGAGGACACAGGAAGGGGGAGGGGTGGGCTGGGACGAGATGACAGAGTGTCATGGACATATATATACACAACCAATTGTAGAATGGATGGCTGGTGGAAAGCAGCTGCATAGCACAGGGAGATGAGCTCGGTGCTTTGTGACCACCTAGAGGGATGGGAAAGGGAGGGTGGGAGGGAGACGCAAGAGGGAGGAGATATGGGGATATTTGTATATGTATAGCTGATTCACTTTGTTATACAGCAGAAACTAACACAACACTGTAAAGCAATTATACTCCAATAAAGATGTTAATAAAAAAAAAAGAAAGTCCTGCCAGCCTTTCACAGGCAGTCACAGCTCTAAGTTCCTCTACTTCACAGCACTTACCACAATTCTAGTTTAACGTTTATCTTTGTGGCAGCTGCCTCATGTCGGCCTCACCCATTTTACAGAATAAACTCCATGAAGACAGTCCGCTTTCTCCTCACCCAGTGTATCTCTAGTGCTTGGCCCCAGTGCTTGCCATAGCCAGCCCTCAAAATACGACTCTCATATGGAGTCTAAAAATTCCTTAAAGTGTCTTACCTTGTAAATCTTCCATCAATTCAAACATTCCAGGATAGTTAACTTGAATTTCATCAGTGTCCTATTCAAAAAGAAAGACAAATCCTTTGGCATTCATTACCAAAAATCCAGATTAGAAAAGAGGTTGTATAGATTGCCCAGACCAATCTCTCACGGTAAGCAGGAATCTTCTTTACAGTATTCTTCACAGACGTCATCTGGCTTACACTTGATTTACAAAGATTTCAAATTGCAGAATAAATGCTTGCCATTCTAACAGTAATCTTTCTATAACTCCATCAACTGGTTCTAATTCTCTCCTTGGGATTAACACAGAATAAAGTCTATTCTGTACTCTGCAAACAATTACCCTTTTCTTCAAGTCTTTGAAAACTCTTCCAGGACACTATAATTTTTTTAGGGGGAGGGGTTAGGCTTTTAGACAAAATTTATAGATCCTTACATGTGCTGACTTCATTTTTCTCTACATAGTCAATATCAATCTCACTCTCTCTCAAAATGTGACACGCAGAATAAAGCCAAAAACGGTCATCTCCCAAGATGCTTTCATTCTACTCCCAGTGATGCAGCAATACTACACAGACTAGTTTAGGAAAGGGCACATGGCTGGCACATACAGTTTATTTCTCAAGTGAACTGCTGAGCAATGATACCCCACTCTTTTTGAAGTTTGATACAGGAGTTCACTGTTGGTACAGTGGCAGAGACCACTGATGCTCCCCAAACATCCAGGTACTCCTTGACACTTCACAACCCCAGACATTTCTCCTGGCAAAAGAAAAGTGAGGTGGAGGCAAGGTAATAAAGAGCTAGTGAGCCTTTTCCAGGCCGTCTCTGCTGCAGTGACCTTAAAGGATACAAGGCCGAGATGGCACAACTACAGGATGGAGAGGAGCTGCCCAACCAGCATGGCTGTGATGTGAAAAACTCCTGTGTTAACCACTCAGATGTAGGAGTTTGCCTACACTGGAAACTAGCCCTGAATATAGGACACTTTTTTTTCAAGTTTGCTATCAAAATGCTGCACATATCTCAAACTTCATCCTATTGGCACTAACCACTTTTGAAGTATCTAGATCTTTTTGTATTCTGTAGCTTTATCTAATATGTTAACTACACCTCCCAATTTTGGACTTTAATGTTGCACAGAATCAAACACAAAACCCTAAGGAACACTTATCAAAAACATCCATTCTAATTCCTAAAGAAATGCAAAACAAAATGACCAATTACTATTTTAACATTAGAGATACAAAACAAAAGTATAAGCAGCGGATTAACATACACTGTTGATGAGGCATGTCAATTAATGCTACCTTATGGACAGTAATTTTACTGTCAAAATTTGAAATGCATATTCTTTGACTAGGCAATACCATTGCTAGAAATTGATCTGACCGATTATGTAAAAGAAAATTCACTGCAGCATTTTTTGAAAGAGTATAAAAAAAACAAACAACAAACTGGAAACAATTTAAATGTCCATTTACAGACAGCAGGTTAAATAAAGTATATCTATTCAATGAAATACTATATAGCTGTCAAAAAAGAATGTGGTAGATGTATGTTTGTACGGGAGGATCTCCAAGATATGTTATTGTCTGGGGGAAAAAAAAGAGTGCATATAGAAAAAAGCAAAAGAGTATATATTGTTGCATGTGTACATTTAAGTGATATAACTGTACTCCAGTCTGTGAGGAAAAAGTGTTCTGAAAGGATATATAAGACAGTTAACCAAAGTCATCCTTGTGGAAAGGAACGGGGTGTCAGAAGGCAGGAGGAGACTTCTGTTCATTTTGGACCCACTCTCTTATTCTCTCTATACATGGTTTGTTTGTGTTTTTTTTCATTTTTTTAAAAAACATATGCATGGATCAGGTTGTATGTGCACTTTTTAATAAGATCATCTCTGGATAGTCCCTTGTATATATTTTTCTACATGGGGAAATTATTTTTAAAAAGAGATTCTAAGATTAAAAATAAATTTCCTCCCAGCTAATGCCTAACCATTAAACAATATCCTTTGAAAACAATTCAACGAAAGCAACTAAAAGCACCATCTCCTTCTCAATCAAGAGTACTACAATAGCCTTGTCAAAGGTCTTATTCAAATTAAGATGGGGGACCATATTTGCAGTTTTCTTCTAATATACTAGCCTGGAAACCATTCTAAAAGGAAATGAGCTTCATTAAGAATGCCAACTAACTCTAAAAATAATTCACTAAGAGGGTCATATAAATGTAAATATAATTACATGATATTAATTTAACTTGATTTCACTTTACAAATAAAAATCCATTGCAGTATAAAAGTAACATATCTAATGTATGAAACATAAACCTGTATAATTGATTATCTAAAAGCTTTCTTGCATGGGAGTTTTAGAAAATGAATTAGGATGCAATGTTAATACAGCACTTTAGAGACAATGTATATGTCTCAAGGAACAAATTTCTATAGATTTTATATATTAAATTAGCAACTAATTTTATAAACTATAGAGAAGGTTATACAGCAATATTTTTGCATTATATTAATGTTTGAGTCATTCTGCTCAATTTTGGAGAAGTATATGGAAGGTATTCTGAATTATTTGAATTCCCAATTAACAGAAATGTAGGCTATGAAATGTTATAATGTCAGGTTAAACATTTTTAGTAGAAATCTTTCTAGAACACACAACTCACTTTACAAACATAGAAAACTGCAAGTGGTTAACATAATTTAACTTTCTTTCGATGACTCAGTAGAAGTCTCATCTTTTTCCTAATGGGCAATGAATTTTGAGTCCCTTAATACTGCTGACTAACCTGTTTGACTGGGCACGAGTTCTTCAACATCACTCCGTGAGGGTTGTCGTCAGTTCCCAGTCTCTGTCTCTTCCCTTCCCTAGAAGGGAAACCCCTTCCCAACATCAGAGGCCCTGCTGGTCTACGCTCCTTGCTTTCTATCAAAGCACGGAAGGATATGACAAGCCATTTTCGGTAGGTTGATTTTATGAAACACACTCACACTACATCTCCTTAAAAAGTTACTTTAAGTTTACAGTCTCTAATTATGCAATGAGAAGCTTTCTTCATTAAAAAAATTCCTATCTCTTCTAATCAGGTTTAGAGATGTTTTTAGGCCTGAGGGGTTTGGAAAATCATGGCAAGTCCATTCTCTGGAAGGCAGTAATGACATCTTTTAGAATGACTTTGTTGCTGAAGGAGGTTTGAAGGGGGAATCCCTGTCTGGATGCGTCCCTGCGGGAAGCCTTGGCCTGGAAAGTGTTAGGAGTAGAGGGAGGAGGAGAGAGGAAGGCAGGAACTAGGACTTATTGAGCATTTATTGTGAAGGTCCAGGTACTTTACACCCTTTAAATTATTTAATCCTAACGGCCACCTGTGGTGAGTAACATTTGCATTTTTTTTTAAAAATGAATGCTCAGAGAGGTGAAGTAAACCCCCTAAATTCCCCTAGCTAGTAAAGGGGCAAGGTAAGGATCCAAATTATACTGTCAGACACCAGCACCCTGCACCATCACTGCACCATGGTGACTCCATGTTTCTTCATCGCTGATGGTCTCGGGTCCTCTTCCCAGATCTCTCCAGTCCTGATGGTGTACAGCCCCCTGTCCTCCCTTCTCTACCTGGATCTAACCCAGGGCCTCGTGAATGCACGCTCTCTCATTTCTGCCTCACATGGCACCACTTCACTTGAGGGCTGGTGGTAGAGGCAATGCTGTGAATGCTCCCGTACACCCGCTTCCCTCCTCCTCTGGGATGCTCTAACTCTCATGTTACACCTAACTCTGGATTTGAAGACTGTGATGGAGTAGCGTGTCTTAGAAAATAGCCTCCTTGTTAACTGAGGTACATTCTTTGTTTGAGTTACTTATTCAGGTAATAGATAATAGAAGTTTTACATTCCTACCTTGTGTCAATCAAGATAAAAAGAGAGAGTGATTATTTCTGAACTGTGTAATTAATGGGTTACTCAATTCTCTTGATAGTTACCACAGTCAGCGTATTAAAGCCGGCTCTCCCGAGCAGATGTCCTAGGTCATTGACAGCAGTGAAAGGAGAGACGTGTGGAGAAAATCCTCCTTCCCTTTCTGTTTCCGCTAACTGTAATGAACACCGGAGTTCATAGAGAGTGTCACCTCCAAACAATGCACCAATAAACACTCCATCTGGTTTTAAAACACAATGAATCTGAAATAAATATAAACAACAAAACTATTCAAAATTTTACATATAAAAATGTTAAAAGGATATATGGTATCTAGATCAATATTTTATGATTACCATTCTTATTTTGTCAAATTAATAACCAGATAATTTATTAAATAACACTTAGACAACCAACTATCAGAAAGGCATTGCAGTATAATATTGTTGTGAAGATAGACATTTACTGATAGTGTTAATATCTATAAAATATTTTATATGTTTTTAATTTTTTATAATAGACAAAACTGACTCTTATAATCAGTAAAATATTGAAAGAAAAAAATTTTAAAGTGTGGTAGAGTACAAAAATCACCATCCTCCCTGTATCTGTGCCCTCTGAAACGCTGCTCAACAACAACTCCCATTAAGGGATGGAGGCTACTTTCCCCTCCTGGAATCTGGGCTAGCCTTGTGACTTGCACTGACCAAAAGAATGCAGAGCAAGTTGACAGTGTGTCAGTGTCAAGCCGAGGTCTCAATGGCCTTGCTGCTTCCACCTGCTCTCTAGGAGCCCCGTCTGGCCACCACGTTGTGAACAAGCCTGAGCTGGCCTGGTGAAGGATGAGAGATCAGCCAGGCATCCCAGCTGAAGCCATCCGACAGCTCCAAGACAATCCATTGGCATATCAGACACACGGGTGAGCCAAGCCAGACCCAGAAGAATTTCCTAAGTCCAGCTCAAATCCCTAATTCACAAAATTGTGAGCTAATTATTTTTAAAACAAAAAGCTGAGGTGGCTTATTATGCAGAAAAAATTGATTTACAGAGAAACCATTATGATTCACAACATTAATCTAGTAACATTTTAGTTAAAATATTAACATATTAATCTAGTAACATACAGAATTAAGAAGTAACCAACTTATTTTTCAGCTTTAAAACAAAAACCAGTTTTAATTTATAACTTGAGCAAAATAGCAGCCAGAATGAATTCCAGATCATAAATGTTTACTCAATGACTCTTAGAACTACAATCTTTAACTAGTTTTGACTCTGACTATTCTCAACAACGAGGAACATTACAGGACAGGGTGGATTCTGAAGTACATCAGAACCCAAATCACAGTAGGCTCTTCTTTTTTTTTTTTTTTTTTTTAGTAGGCTCTTCTAATTCAAGTATGCATCTTAGATTTACATTTAATACATTATGAAGCAATTACAAAACAGTATATAAGCAAACCAACTGTAAAATCTTTTGGTTTTTTTCTTCTGCCCCTTTAGTGTTACTTCTTTCTCTTGCCACCAAACTCTAATATAACGTACCTAGAATTTAGTCCTCAGCTCTCTTCAACTTCTCTCTACCACAGAGGGCTTATCAGTTCCCATGGATTTCACAAGGATCACTTTCCAATCTCTACCTTGAGCTTCCCAGAACTCTAAATTTGTCTTTAGCTGCCTGTGCGCCATGAATATCTGTCTCTTGATAAACTTACTCCCTCCCCTTCCCCAGTACATCCAACACACACACAACACTTTTTCTCAAACCAACTCCCTTTTCCAAATGCCATATTTCTGTTAATTACCATTTTCTATTCCCTTTATCTGATCACTACCATTCTTTCCCCTACTTTTACTAATTATTCTCCAGTCATCCAGACTCAAAACTTTAAGGCAAGCTTTGACTCCTGACTCTTTTTGATCTTCAGCTCTAACCAGCCACCAAACTGTTGACTCTTACTTTGCAGAGTCCTAAATACCTTTCTCTTCTTTTTAACTCCTACCATTGCCACATAGGTTTAGTGTATCTCATGCCTGGGCCACTGAAACAGTCTCTCTTCCATGTAACCAAATTCCAGCATCAGTTTTCTAATCAGCAAAATGAAGCTATCCTGCAGAGTTATTTAACACATATATAAAACAGAGCACAGTGATTGGCAAACAGTATATGCTTAAGATATGGTAGTTATTATCCTGCCTACCAGCTTTTTAATCATGTTACTTTCCTCTTCAAAATTCTCCAGTGGCTCTGAATTGCCTTAAGAAAAAACTCCTAATTCCTTAATCTGTCACCTGAGTCTGCCTAAATCTGGTCCCAAAATTCCTCATCTACACCTGGCACTATACTAATTCTCTAACAGGCTTCCTCTTTGTCCTTTCAGGCTCCTGAGTCTCTTACACCTCCCATCTATCCCGGGATTCTGCCTTCCTGGAGCGTATTCCCACTCCAAATCTGACCTACCCTTTGAGGCCCTGTTCAAGAAATTCCTTCCTCTTAAAGGTTTCCTAGGCCACTCCAAGCCACAGTGATCTCCTTCCCTCCTTGGAACACGATGCTTTTTACCCACCCTTCATCTGTTTGTTGATCAATATCAACCGAGAAGCATTTACTAGCATTGCCTAAGTATAAGGTATGGGGGAGATACAAACACTGTAGGAACAAATAGGTTCTCACCCACAAAAAATTTATAGGCAGTGCAGGAAGAAAAGAAAGCCACACAGAAAATGTCTTATGATATTAGTACTATTTTGTACAAGTCTTAAATATTTATGAAAACTTTAGTAACATCTCCATAATTAGATTTCTTAATTCTCAGGGAACAGGGAGTCACTAATGTACTTCTTAATATGCCAAAGGGCACCAAGTGTATCTGGCCGACAGAAGATAATCAATTTTTTATTTGCTTCCGTTTCCAATTGTCAAAAATATAAAATGGAAAACATCTATAAGTTTCTGTGTAAAAACAGAAACATCTATAAGTTGCTAATAATAAACAAAATAACACAGGCTATTAGAATCAACACTAAGATTTTTACCTGTTCAAGTGCTCTAGGAAGGTCATTCACCCAGTGCAAACTAAAATATAAAACACACATTTGTTTTAGCTTAATGTGTATAATTAATTAGTACGAGCAGCACTAGTATAATGATAAGCCACAAAAAAGGTGTACATTTTGATGTTTGAAATTGCATATCAAAATTCATTGATTGTTTTCATACAAGTTTTAAAATAAAAAATATTCCTAGGGAATTACCTTCCTTCTGTTGCAGGAGAAAATGTGACAGTATATCACTTTCCTGATATGATTATCTCTCCAAATAGTCTTCAATGAATAAAGTAAAAGTCAGCTTTTCTAAAGCATACATACAAATGGCCAACAGGTATATGAAAAGATGCTCAACAACACTAATAATTAGGGAAATGCAAATCAAAACCACAATGAGATGTTACCTTATACCTATCAGGATGTGCATTAAGAAAAAGAGATGACAAAGGCTGGTGAGGATGTGGAGAAAAGAGAGCCTTTGTGCATTGTTGGTGGGAACATAAACTGGAACAGCTGCTGTGGAAAACAGTATGAAGGTTCCTCAAAAAATTAAAAATTGAACTACCATATGATCCAGCAATCCCACATCTAGATATTTATCTGAAGGAAGTAAAGTCATTATCTTGAAGAGATACCTGTATTCCCATGTTCATAGCAGTATTATTCACAGTAGCCAAGGTATGGAAACAATCCAAGTGTCCATTAAGAGATGAATGGATAAAAAAGATGTGGTGTGTACACAGACACACACACACACACACACACACACACACACACACACACAGAGGAATATTATTCACCCATAAAAAAGAAGGAAATCCTGCCTTTTGGGTCAACATGGATGGACCTTGAGGGCATTATGCTAAGTGAAATAAGCAAGACGAAGGAAGAAAAATACTGTATGTTCTCACTTATATGCAGAATCTAAAAAAGCCAAACACATAGAAACAGAGTAGAATGGTGGCTGCCAGGGGCAGAGGGAAACAGGGAGATGTTCAAAGGATACAAACTCCCAGCTTTAAGATAAACAAGATTTGGGGATCTAATACACAGCACGGTGACTATAATTAACAACACTGTATTATATAATTGAAGGTTTTTAAGAGAGTAGATCTTAAATGTTATCACCACATACATACACAAAAAATTGCAATTATGTGAAGGGATGAAAATTGTTAACTAACCTTATTGTGGTAATCATTTTGCAATATATATATGTATTTGATCATCATATGGTACACCTTAAACTTACGTATGTTATATATAAATAATATCTCAATAAAGCTGGGGAAAAAAATAAAGTAAAAATCATCCCTATCTGGCATCTCATTTAAACAGTGCTATTCTGAGAAATTATTTGAAATAGTAAAACTAAGGACCTGATGACATATTCAAGGAAGTTCACCAATTAAATCAAACAATTAAGCTAGATATATATAGAATTCTAAGTCCTACTTTCGCGGGGTGAGGTGGGGAAGCCACTTCATCAGACCTATAATTTTCCCAAGGCAAACAGTATTACTCATCAAAAATAACTCAATGAGTTTTCTGATAAATAATATCCCATATTTTTTAAGACCATAAAAAAGAATAAATAAACTCAAAGTTCTATATACTTAAAACTTAATTTTAGAAATGTCTTGCATTGTCTTTGGACTCTATTTGATCCTCTCCCAGAGTGTGGTGTTGTATAACCACAAGACTCAGTCTCTGTAGAGTATGGTCACACTTTCCTGGTAGAGCTGGCATCCTCTTAGCTGAATTCCAGGAGAGCACCGAAGACCCATTTCAAACCATACTATGTTAAGCTCACATTTATCTTTCATAATGCTTTCTATCAATTATTTGATACTTTAAAAATTGAGGTCATATTATAAACTCTATCATACTTACGGGGAAACTGAAAGTGACAGAATTACAGTAGTTACTTGCAAATAACAAGCACAGGAGCTAAAGTTAAAACTCAGGTTCTGACTCTCTGCCCAGGGCTCTTTCCCTTAGACCAAGTACGTGTAATGTTTTCCATTTCACAATAGAATCGGAATATTTTTCTAAGTTTGTTCAGCACACCTCAAAAAGCAGAGAAAAAATTACAAACTCACTAAAGAAAACAGCAAGGGTGACCAACTCTCCCAGTTTGCCTGGAACTGAGGGGTTTCCTGAGACACAGGCCTTTCAGTGCTAACACTGGTAAAGTCTTGGGCAAACCATAATGACAGGTCACCCTAAAAACAGCCATTAAAAGGGCTGAACTGAGCATGTTGAATCTTTGAAAAAAAATCTGACTATACTAATAAGGAGAAATAAGGCACCACACAGAATACTTTATTTTCTCTATTAGATGTTGAGGTCTTTGAGGACAGGATTCCTGTCTGAATTCATTTTTCAATTCCCCAAAGCATCGAGCTCAGTGCCTTGTACATTATAATCTATTCAACAAACATTTATAATATATGTTTTTGTAATAAACGTGGAGGGACATGGTAGGAAGTACAAAGGGAAAAAGTAACCTTGAGAACTACGTCTCTGTGTAGAAGAATTAAAGTTAAAGGAAATATGAGCTTTTCCTTATTTGCCAGAATGAGTTTATAAGGGTGTTCTAACATCTGAATATTGGAGCCATTATACTCTTTCAAACTCTTGCCCCATCAACATGTAACTAGGTTACGTCAGCGAGGAAAACCCTTCTAACACAGATAAACTTTAGCAAATTAAGGAAAGTTGGGGAGGAAAAAAAGTTGAGGTACTATATCACTTATCCCCACTAGGGAGCATATAATCCATAATTCTTTACCAGAGAAAACTGGTTTGTGACTTAAAATAAGTTATTAAGATATTTACTCTGTTATCTATTTTATTTACCTTATAATATTAAAATTTTATAGCATAAATTATCTATTTTTAACATATATTTTTTAAAAGCACAAATAGATTACCAACCTTAAACTGCTAACCACCAGATCAAATATATTTTCTCTGAAGGGAAGAAATTCTTCATCAGCTAAAACACTGACAGTAGGAATTTCCATTTCTAAGGCATTTTTCTAAAAGTTAAAAAACAGACGTTCAAAACACATTTATATAACATCTTAATTATTAACACAATCATTGTTTGTTAAACTTAAGTCAATGTTATATTTACTTGGTAGTTTCTAGTCCTTCTAAAAAATAAAAATTAAAAAAATTAAAAGTTTCAGTGGAATAATTGAGGCCAGAAAACTGCTAGATGAAAATATGGGTGAACACTTTTATACTCTTAGATGAAAATGCCTAAGTAAACGTGACTCAAAAAACAGAAATTGTAAAGACTGATATACTTGATGATAAACTAATCAAAAACTTCTAAAAAGCAATAAACAATGTAAACAATATATTTGGGAAAATATTTTTTAAATATATGAAGAAAAACTAATATCCCTAAAAAGCAAGTTCTTACAAACCACCTAGAATAAGAACATGCCAAGGTTAAAGTAGATAAAGGACTAAGGTACAGGCACATCATAAAAATTACTTACAAAATTCACAAATTGAAAAAAAACAATAGCCAAAAGACATCAAGAGCTATTTGGCTACTCTAGTAAACAAAGAAATGTAAATAAAAACAATGAAATTCTACTTTCTGCCTATTACATTGACGAAGACAAAATAAATGGCCCAGTGTTGCCAAAGAGAAGGAGAAAAGAGTGCTTTCTTTTAATTCTGTTCTTCAGTCTTTCTAACGGCAGTCTGGAGATGTATATTAAAAATTTAAAGCTGAACATCAATGAATCCATACATTCCACTATTAGGAATTTATTCCCTGGGAGAAAATAAATCAAAATTGCTTTATATAAGGATGTTCATCACAGTGTTGGTTACTGAGATACTAGAAATACAACTGTCTTTCAAAGAAATTTAGCTAAATAAATCGTGGAATATTCATATGCTGGAATACTATATAGCTGTATAAATAGGGGTGTGTGTGTGTGTGTATATATATACATATATATACCATTTATTGATATAAAAGAGTGGTATTCTATGAAAAATATGGCATGTTAGCATAATAATGTTTGTATAAAACAGTGTTGGGGAGATATTATATGCCTACAAGGTGGAGACCACAATGTCACCAGTGGTTGCCTCTGAGTGGTGGGACTAAGAGTGATTTTTCCTTCCTCCATTATACTTCCTGTACTGTTTTACTTTCTTTTATGTTTGTTACATTTATAATCAGGAAAAAAACAGCTAATTTCATTTTGAAGGAAATAAAAAAGTAAAGAACTAAAAAACAAACCAGGAGATCAGAAACCTATAGTATTAAAAAGCTACCTACCAAAGCATTTTCTGCAATGTCTGTTTGGAAAAACTTTCCAACAGTTTCCTGAAAAGGAATAAAGTTGATCAGATAATACAAAAACAAAAAAAAACTAGTAACAAATCAAACAAAACAACTGTTGAAATTAGTAAAGGAAAAAGTGATAATTATAGATTAATTTTCAGCTTTGTAAGGGTATTTTTCTGCATGTAATTAGTATGGTACACAAATACTTTTAATAACACATATTAAGTTACATAGAATTAAATATATGCAGTCAACCCTACATGTAATATATTTAACAATATTTAATAAAATGGAGAACACAGGTATGAATAATCAGCATCCTTAATTTACTCCACTGGGTTAAGGCTATGTGTTAACTTTTCCATGGCATAATATGCTGAGAGCTAGTCCCCACTCTTGTACCACAGAAGATCCCTCCTGCATACCATCCCCAAATTAATCTTTCTTAAACATCACTGTATCACACCCTACAGCTTTCTACCTCCACCTTCCCTCCTGCTATGCCCTTACTTCCAATGCCTATGAAACACCAATCCAGATTCTTTCAAATCCCAGGTCAGATTCTGTGCCCTTTCAGAAGCCTTTGATCAAATGAAACCCTACTGATTTTCCTTTCCCTTGACTCCTGTTGCAGTTTAATGACTGTACCATTTCCATGGCATTTACTATTATCAATAACAGTATTTGGAGAGGCTCATACACACCCCTCCTCCTGCCTTGGCTCAAGTGTACTTTTTTTCTAAGTAGATTTGATATAGAAATCCCACTTTAATTTGTGTCCAGCACAGTGTGCTACATAGAGAGGCTAAAACAATTAATAAATGTTTTTGGTCTGAATTACAAATTGAAAAATAAAATGGTATAAGCATTAATAAAGGCCACTTATATTTCATCACACACAAGATTTCTAACCAACTGATGAAATGAATATTTTTCATAGATAAAGTATTAGCTTACTCACAACTTCCAAATGAATGTCAATGTGATTTTTATTGTGAATTATTAAAAAAATTTGAACAAAGTGGTAATAAAGTACAATGTATCTTACATAGACTTAAAGAAACTATCAGTAGGAACACCGTATAAAATGGATTCAAAGAAAAGAAAAAACAATTTAAGAATAAACTACTTAGGAGTAGACACAAAACCACCACTGGTTCCATCACTTCAAAAAAAACAAAGAAATGAGAAATTCTGATATAATCAAAATCTAAATATGATACAAATTGATTAGGAAAGTCTTCCCTTAAAATTAGCCAATTTTATTTCTCAAAGTAAATTAAGTCATCAAATAAATATACCTTATTCAAATGTTGTGCTATATAACCTCTTCCACAACCGACATCCAAAGCAAGGGGGAAATCTCTGAAAAACAGACACAGAAGTCATATTTGTCTATAAAAATAGTCCATAAATAACTATTAAAAACTAATTTTCTTAAGTAAAAACGTTTTAGTGAACACAGCTTTCAAAAAAGTTATATCATCTGCCTTTGCTGCCTTGCCTCACAACGTGCATCCCTCAGAGAACACACCAGACACGGCAAGTCTGTCTGGCCTAGCCACTCACAGGACCTCACAACCAATGGCCTTCCATAAGGTTGCTCCATGATGTGGATGTGAAGAACTGATTTAGTAGGGGGTATTTTAATTTGATAATATACCCAGATAAAGAATGAAAAGAAGTTAATGTAAATGAACATGAAAATATTTGGCACACCTACCAGGAACTTACTACTTATCCCTACTTCTCAAATTTTTGATGACTTAGAAATCATCATGTGAAAGACCATGAAGTAAAACATGATAAACTAAAAATCAAACAAAATATCAACTAAATAATAGCTTTTACTTAAATCTTACCAGGTTCAAAGCAGTGTGCTAAGTATGCAGAGTTAAGTAAGTCAATCCAAGGTCACTCAACTAATAACCAGCAGTCAGAACTTGAATTCAGTCTGTTTGAATCCTGAACCAGAACTATTATCCCCTATGCAATGCTGTCTCCTCCAAATATATGTCATACTAAATCAGTTTACACATCCAATTGTGGGTCATAGGTTTAAGAAAAATTTGTGACAAAATTTTTTTAAATTTTATCCACTAATAACATTTTTCCTATTGGAAGCAAGAGTTCCTTTTCAATTTCTGTTAAAAACCTATGTCAAAAATATAGAACACCAGTACACAGCTGGAGAACCACTGGTGAGAGAACCATTTATTTACCTAATGCCCTCTATCTTGATTGTGAACATAGGCAGTGTGGCCTGGGGAAGCATATAGCCTTTGCAATCACGAAGACACGAGTTAGAATTCTGGACCTGAAATTTACTGGCTCTGTGACCACAGACAAGTGATTTAATCTTGCTGGATCTCAGTTTCCCCATCTATAAAATGGAAAAGTTACTATCTTCCTCAGGGTTGGTATGAGAATTTTATGAAACAGTGCATGTAAAGTATTCAGCACAGTACAAATGTTCAACAGTTAGGACTTATTATTATCACCGACTTTAACAGTACTAAGTAAGCTTCAGAGAGCACAAATAAGACATTTAATAATCTGTTGGATTAGTTTAAATAATAAACATAAGATCAGTGTTGACAATACAAGCTATTCTAATAATAGAACATTAATGTAAGACACTTTAGACTGTTATTTTTAATGATTTAATTCCAAAGAGTTACTGTTATTTTAAGACATGCTTTTAGTCAAAATCACAGTTTTCTCCACAGACCTGTGTTTTGCTCAGTACTATGACATAAAGAGATTGTAAAATCCAATCTGACTTGGAAAATTTAATGTTTCATTTATTAAACTGCAAATGACCTAAAAGCCAGGCAAATGAATGACTACAGTATAGAGAATCAGCTATTTTTCAGATTTTTAAAATAATGAAACCAATGAAACAGATGAAATGAGGGTGATTTTTGTAACAATGAAGAATTTTTTTTTTAAACTTTATGAAACTGATTCACCCCAAGACTATTTTAAGTAGCCAGGATATATCCAAAATATGATTTCAAGAGTTTGTGATTTTACAAAATTCCCCTTTTTTGAATAGACAAAATGAAATAAATTCATCCCATATGGTCTAATTTAATGTGTGTCTTTTTCACAAAAGAGCACCAAAAGCGATTTGCTAACATCACAGAGCAATTCTATAGCAAAGCCATTATTTAACTGTGGTTCCTGCTACCTGGCTGTAAATTCAAACCTGCAAAGCTTTTGTTATGCCTAATATAGAGCAATGACTCCATCAAGGTTTTAATAATATTTGATGAAGGTGTTCTTTTCTCAAATCTGCCTCTATATAATTGTCATAAAACCCTTATTGCTATTAATAATACCTAAGATATAATGGCCAAAGTCTCATATAACTTGATGGGGGAACAAATCTAGGTAGACTCTCTCCTTCACTTAGATGGTAAAAGGTTCTGTTAAAATTTTAAACTTTTAAAGTTAGGTTTAGTAAATTTTAAAATTCACATGTCAATTATATCCATTTTTGGAGCAATCTTTCCATTACTCGCTTTTGACCAAATCAAGTGGAATAGCCATTTAGTCTTGGAGAGAAGCTGAGCTGTGTTTCCATTCATTCTTTTTGTTTGTTTGTTTGTTTGTTTGTGGTACGTGGGCCTCTCACTGTTGTGGCCTCTCCCGTTGCGGAGCACAGGCTCCAGTCGCGCAGGCTCAGTGGCCATGGCTCACGGGCCCAGCCGCTCCGCGGCATGCGGGATCCTCCTGGACCAGGGCACAAACCCGTGTCCCCTGTATTGGCAGGCGGACTCTCAACCACTGCGCCACCAGGGAAGCCCCCCATTCATTCTTTTTTAAGACAACAATGAGAAAATACTTGCTCTCTCAGACATAAAAAAAGGAGAGCTCTAAGAGTGATTAAAACTACTAATCCTGGTAATAAATTCATCTAGATGCTGCCATTCCAGATATCAAGTTCTCAGCATTTAATTTCTCAAGCCTTCATTCAAAAGTTGATTGGGGCTTCCCTGGTGGCGCAGTGGTTAAGAATCCGCCTGCCAATGCAGGGGACACGGGTTCGAGCCCTGGTCCGGGAAGATCCCACATGTCACGGAGCAACTAAGCCCGTGCGCCACAACTACTGAAGCCTGAGCGCCTAGAGCCCGTGCTCTACCACAAAAGAAGCCACTGCAATGAGAAGCCCGTGCACCACAACAAAGAGTAGCCCCCACTCTCTGCAAGTAGAGAAAGACCCAACGCAGCCAAAAGTAATTAGTATATTAAAAAAATAATTAAAAAGAAAAGTTGACTGTATTTTATTATGACAATCATCACTTACCTGGCTATGTCATATATACGGTCTGCAATCCGACTTCCAACCTGACAGATTATAAGAGGCAATGAAGTTAAGATGAGTAGGTTTAACAGAGAAGTAACACTCTCTCCAGTATTCAACAATCCATAGGTTACTTATGTTTCAACATGTTAAATTCCCTTTATCCCTTTTTCAATTTGACCTCAGCAACTTTCTTTTCAAATTCTGAATAGGAACATCATAAATTAAAGGAAACACACTGAGTTAATTACTTCAGAAGTCAATTTAAGGAAAGAAGACTAAATACTATATATATATATATATATATATATACACACATATATATGTATATATATATGACTTTATATTCCATATGATACAAGAATGCAAGGCCAAAAAGCAACAGGATACCCCAATTAAAAAAAAAAATCAACAGGAACACAACAAGCATATTATTGTCTATAGATATTAGCATGAGGTATGTGAAAGTGAAAAATTAGTTAGCTGGGGATTATTACAGATCAATGTATAAATGATCACTTAATAAAAACTCTATTATTTGATAACTACTAACAAATTTTGTGGAACTCCTAAATGAGTAAACAACTTTTCTGAGCAACATCTGCAAATTAGAAGTCAGCCAAATCTGAAGAAACCTCTTCAATCCCACCCTAATTTAAAAGACGTCATAAGGTAGGTACCTCCTTTTTGCTGGGCTAGCTTCGTCTGGCAGGAATAAAGATGTGGGAGCCTAATATTCCATTCATTCCCTTATAAACATCCCAGAGTTTCTATTAGGCCTTGAAAGTTCAGAACATATGTGTATTTGCTTTGGGGGGGGAAGGAGGGGTAAGGGAGGAGGACAGAAGAAGTCATTTCCCAGAGGACTCCACTTTGTACATCATTCCTAATATGAATACCTTTTGTTTATTATTTTTAAAAAAACTTTCATATACTTTATCTCATTTATTCTAGTCCTAAACACTGGTGAGGCCTCAGTCAAGTTGTAATCCAGGTGCTTCTCTTGGAGAAGAGTGGCTGGAAACACATCTTCTAAGTACATGTCACCATGAACCCTGAGGACAGAGTCACTCATCTGATCAGGCCAGGACTTACACAGAGCTCTGCCCAAAGTAGGGGCAGTAAATGTTGGCTGCATAGGCTTGAAAGAACTCATTACACTTGATTTCAATTTTAGTCCATCCCTGAAGAAACACGAGGCCTGAGCTCTGTGCTGCCTGTCCAGAAAGCAGAAACCTGCTCAAGTCCCTAGTCCACCTAGGCAGAGAGGAAGAGGTCTCTCAAACCAGCACAGACAAATCTTAATTTATCTTAATGAGTCTTTCTAAAACACGAACCAGAGCCCATCACTCCATTGCTTAAAAGCATTCGACAGTCTCACATTCCTCTAGAGCCATGTTGCCAGTAGAAAAACAATCAGAGCCACATGAGCAACTTAAAATTTTCTAGTAGCCATTTTAAAAAGGGTAAAGAAATTAATTTAAACATTTTATTTAACTCAATGTATCAAAAATAAAACTTCAACATGTAATCAATGTAAAAAGATATTAAGGAAATATTTTACATCCTTTGTTCACATTGTCACTGAAATCCCGTGTATTTTACATTTACTGCCCATCTCAAAGGGACATTCAAGTGCTCAGTAGCTACATGCGGCCAGAAATTACCATATCAAATGGACAGCCGAGATGGAGAAGAAAATCCCAAATCCTTAACCATTAAGGCCCTCGTAAGCTGGGCCCTCCCTGACCTCCCAATGGAGGTCCCTGGAAGCCTCAACAAGGTCCTTTCGGCCTCAGGGGCTCTGGGTTTGTCTTTCCCTTTGCCTACAAGGCTTTTCCCCCCAGATCCCAGCCTGGCTAATTCCTCATCACGTCGTCTGCCTGAGCGGCCTTCCCTGACCAGCGCAGTCACCTTACTACTTCACTTTGTTACCTGGCCTTACTTCTTTAGCTGGAATTACATGTTTTTGTTCACTGTCTCGCCTCCCACAAGAATGAAATCTCCTGAGAGCAGCTGTCTTACTTTGCCCTGGTCACACCTGTAATACAGGCACCATCTGCCGAGGTTATGAATGAATGAAGAGCAATTTACAAACACCGGCGCCCGGCCGCTGGGAGACTATAGTAGAGGCCCAGACAGGCAGGTCGGCTGCTCAAGCTCACACAGCGAGGTGGGGGCGGCCGGGGCCTAGGCGGAGCTCCCGGACCCGAAGCCAAGGCTCGGCGCCGCCCTCCCCGCCGTCCCGCTGACTCACCTCCTCCTTCAGGTAGTCAAACTTTATCCGCTCAGGCTGCCGGGCCGCCCAGTTCTTCTGTTTCCTCTTCAAATCCCGATCGAATATGTTTAGGGATCTGGACGAGGCGCTGCCCAGGGAAGAGACGCCAGAGGCCACCTTCCTGAAGCCGACGTTCTTCGCGGGGACCCCTGCCGCTGGAGGTCGCCGCCACCGGGTCGGGAACCTGGTCAGCCGCAGCATCTCCAGCGGTGACGCCGTTTGCAGGCGCATTTATCGTGCGCATGCGCCGCAGCTTCAGCGAGGACTCTGGAGAGCTTCGCCGAGGAAAAGCGGAAGAAGTTTGGCCCAGTTCGCGTGCCATTACGGCTGCGCGTCACGCTGAGGATTGTGGGAGTTGGGGGCCTACGTGTGGCTCGGAGAAGTCTCGGAATTGGTGAGTGGGGTTAGGTTCCAGAAAAAGGGCTTGTCGAGGGGGCAGAATCAGTCTCTGAAAGGGTCTCCATCGGATTCGTGAGGGCCGCGCTCTTCCTCCTTGCCTTTCCGACTTCTTTCTTCAGGCTTCCTTGCTCTTCCTCCGCGTTCTGTTGAGGGCCCTCTTCCCTCTTCCGGCTCTCTGAGGTTTGGGAGTTGGGAAGGAGACCCTAGTTCCGGGCTCACCCTGGTGTTTCCCGCGTTAGAGGGTGGGTAGAAGGGGAGGGTGGGCTACAGAGATGAGGGCGGGCGTCGGAGATGAGGTTAGGTCGCCTTCCCCTCTCCGAATATCAGGAGTGTATCAAGTGCTTTCGTTCTAAACACTTATACACATTAGCTGTAATAGTTGAATGAAATGGTACCTATCCTACTCCATAAAGCTATTCAGAGCGTTAAATGTTTAATTGTATAAGTGCATCATAGTCAAGCCTTGCTTTTGAAACAAAGCACTATTACCATGTATTTATTAACTAGAGTGAGACTTCACCAGATTCATGAAGGGTGGTAGTATATAAAGGGGGAACTTTGAGCTAAACCTGAATTGATGTTGGTCTGTTTAGTTAGGAGACTAGCCACATAGAAGTAAATGCTGTTCCGGGTAGAATGAAGTAAGGATTAACGGAGAGAATGGGAGCAGAACGTGAAGAAACAAATAAGACCAACTGAGACTTCGGAATTTTTAAATTACATTAGTTTTTTACTTGTAACACATACAAGTATACAAGTAGAAATATAGGATATCTAAGTGAGGGCAGTTGGCTAGTAATCATTTGCCCCCCTCCATAAAGACCTGGAATTCTGCTTGGTTTTGCCTTAAATTTATTTCTCCATATGATCTGTACTCAAAAGAAGATATTCTGATAGTTTTTTATTTTCTGCATGTGACTCAAAATGAGTTTGGGAAAGGAAATTAGACATGTTACTTTTATTTTACTTACATTTACCTTAGAATACAGTATTGTGAATTAATATTCCCAAAGCATCTTATTTAATTATATTAGTAACCTTTCATTATTGTTTTATTTTTTAGTGTCTGGTTTCTTCAAGTATTTGCCCAGTCAGACATTTAAAAATGGCATCCAAACAAGAAATAATGAGTGACCAGCGGTTTAGGCGGGTTGCAAAGGACCCGAGATTTTGGGAAATGCCAGAAAAGGATCGAAAAATCAAAATTGACAAGAGATTTCGAGCAATGTTTCATGACAAAAAGTTCAAATTGAATTATGCTGTGGATAAAAGAGGACGCCCCATCAACCATAGCACTACAGAGGACTTGAAGCGTTTTTACGACCTTTCAGATTCTGATTCGGATCTCTCTGATGAAGATAATAAAGCTTTGAACCAAAAGAAACTGAAGAAGAAAAAACCCCAGACTAAAAACGAAAAAGAATCAAAAAATCTTGTTGAGGAGAAAAAGAAAGAAGCCAAGAAAATTAATCAAAAGGATTCTGGAAATAAGAATGATTTAGATAACTCCGAGAGAATTCAGAAAATGAAAACCTCGTGCAAATCTAAGAAGATAGAGTCAACAAGTCCCAAGAGCGATAGCAAAGAATTTATACAAAAAAGTACAAAAGGGAAAAAAAACGTTGTTCAACATAATACAGACTTGTTTCCCAAAGGAAAATTAAGAACAGTAGACTCAGGCACCTCTGAAATTGCACAGTCTCCCAAAGTCAAGTATTCTGAGACAGGAAGAGAAATGCAATCAGGTTGGTTGGAAAGAACTAAAGATTCTTTGGTATTACATTACTTATTTTTACACTGGTCTTTTAAAAAAGGAAATATATCTAATGAGTATTTTCATAGTATCATAAAAGTGGTCAAATGCTTATTTGGTAGTATAAAGCTATGAAAGAAAAAATACCATATGATAATGAATTTTTGATTTGATGCTATAATGGCTAGAAGAGAGACAAAAATTTAGGTCTTGAGGCTAAACAGTGATTTTGATTTGTGGTGGGCACTAGTGACAGCTAGGTTCTCCAACCAGATAAAATGTTATATGGTCTCATCACAGGATAAAAAGAGGTGTGTCTGAAGAAGGTAAGTAGAGTTGGGTGCTCATTCCTTCCTTCATTCATTCAATTACTTTTAGTACCTAATATGTGGCAGATAGAACATTGAGTAAGACATGGTTCCCCCATCTCAGGGCTACTGTTAGTGTATATGATGTCTGTGCAGATTAGAAAAAGATGTGCCCTTCTGGACACACAGCACTTCCAGAACTCACAGTTTGGTGAGGACAGCACCTTTGAGGGAGGCACAGGTTCTTTTCCCCTGAACAGACACAGTACTCCTGCAGGGTGTGTGGATTGGTGATTGGAGTTTGGCCTTGATTTCAGCCCTTCTTGACCCTTTGCAGATCACCTTTTGCAAATAACAACCTGCTAAACTCTGTGCAGTGTCACTGGTCTAAAGCAGTACTGTCCAATAGAAATATATAATTTTGAATTTTCTAGTGGACACTTTAAAAAGTAAGAAGAAACAGGTGAAATTAATTTTATTAATATATTTTATTTAACCTAATATATCAAAAATTATTTCAATATGTAATCAACATAAAAAATGTAATGGGATATTTTATATTCTATTTTCATACTAATATCAAGTTGGATGAGCCATCTTTCAGGTGCTCAGTTGCCACATGTGGCTGCTGGCTACCATATTGGACAGTGCAGATCTAAAGCAGAAGAAATTAATCAGAACCATAATACAAAATAGAGTAATTTAAAGTGCCATAGAAGAGCAGGGCTCTGAGAATTTGGAGGAGGAGGTCACTCAAGATATGGTAATCAGTAAAATTCATAGGTGAAGTGCTATTTTGGTTGGGGTTTGGAAGAATTAAATTTGGGATCCAGAGTATTCTACACAGAAAGAACTTTTTGAGCAGAGATATAGTTGAGCTTGCTCAGAAGAGATCAGTATTCCCATTTGATTAGATAATAAGGTGTCTGAAGGGGTGAGCGAATAATAAAGCTAGAAATGGTTGTTTGAAGCTAAGTAAGAAACATCTGACTCTAGTTCATGTTTACAAGTTTTCTAAGCTTATTAAAAAGTTGCGTCACCTCTGGCAGCAGGAAATTTTGAGTATTGGTATTGCTGATGGTTGATGTTGTAACTGAAAATTGGTGATGTTCAGATAAGCCAGACAAAGGCTGGCTGTGATTACAGGACCCAAGGAAGGTAAGCATCAAGAAGAGGCAGAGAGAGGTCTTTACAGGCCATAATCACACTGGGAAGGTAGGAAGTATCAGGAAGTGGACAGAATTCTAAATAGCAGAGACTAGGGGTCAGGGGTGAGATTTATAGTGGAACCACACAGCAAACTGAGGTATAGGGACAAGGGATGCAAGTCTGGTTACTGAAAGTGGAGGATAAGATCAGGCTGGGAACAGCAGCAAGGTTGGCTTGATGCTGAGTTTGTGAGCGAAGTTAGTCTAGTATCCTTCAAATTTCACTAGATTTAGGGCATTAGATTAATATAACATATCCATATAATCCTTGGGGTTGATTTTACAGAATCTTTTGATGTATCTTTTTTAATTTAATTTTCTCAGTAACCATGAGAAATTAGGATATATTCTTTAGGAAACAAGTGATCTATGTGAGGATACACAGAGCTGGGCCAGTAACTCAGGTCTTTGACTCTTTCTACCCCACCATGTTGTTTGCTGTAATTTACATTGGTTCCACAGTCTAGAAAAAGCATTATCTGTAAGTAGAGATCAAGTGACTCCACCAGCACCATCTTTTTTTCTTTATTCATTCATGACTTATCATTCCAGCAAGTACTGTGTACAAGGGGCTTTTTAAGTGCTATGAGGTAAAGATGATGTAGGGAGTTGCAGTTTAATATTACGTATCATTTTAAAATGTTGATGCCCAGCACTTGCACTCCTAGAATTTATTTTAAGTAAACAATTGGGCATGTGTTTAAAGAATTGTGCATTATAGCATTGTTTTTAAAGTTTTTTAAACGGTAACATAAATCATTATGGGATTGATTAAATAAGTTATGACATATACAAATATGTTCATGACATACAAAGTTTTAAAAATAGATTACATGGGAATTCCCTGGTGGTCCCATGGTTAAGACTTTACACTTTCACTGCTGAGGACCTGGGTTCCATCCCTGCTCAGGGAACTAAGATCCTGAAAGCCACACGGTGCGACCAAAAAAAACCTAAAAACATAGGTTACAAAATAGAATAAATGGTATGACTAGCTACTTAAATTAGTGGGCATATCATAGAAAACAAATTTAGGGAGTTATGTACCAAAATAACCACTCAGTTATCTCTGAATGAAAAATTACTAGTCATCTTTATTTTCTTTGCTAAACCATATTTTCTTAATTTTTTACAGTGAGCATTCATTACTTTTATAATCAGAGGGAAAATGATAAAGCATTTTTTTAAAGTAGCTGAATAATAGTAGTGTTTATAGTCACTACTGGAGCAGTACCATCTAGGAATAGAGGCAGTTACTTATTTTTCTATTCCCTCATTATTTAGAATAAGGCTTTGTACAAGGTAGGGTCTGAGCAAATGTTTAGTGAATGAATAAATATTCTGAATGTAATTGATATTGTCAAAAATATTAAAATACTAGATCTCTTTCAGTCTCCCATGTATCAATTTATTATACAACCCCAAATGTGATATGTGTACCACTGTCATGTGAGAAGATGTCATATGTCAGGTGATACTCAAACATTTTTTATATTAATAGTTACGTAGTTCAACATCTTAGGCAAAAAAATGTAACCACTATATCACATTTGTGGCTTCAGGGATATTGTTTAGAACAAGCTAATATTTTTAATTTAAAAAAATTCAGCTTCATGAAAAATATCAGTGACAGGCAAAAATCATGAAAATTGTATAGTAATAACTGATGTTTGAGAAATATTGCAACACTAGATAGAGCTGTGTCCCCAAGGTGTTATTTTAAACAGGTTGCTTAAAAGTGAATTCTAATGCTTATCTAATAGTAACTTTCTGTCACTATCATGGTGGTGTTTTTCTGATCCCATTTATAGAACTTATGATAATGCCTTTTTTTGGCTTTTTCACATCTGCTAGTTAGTTATCTTTTATTACTCCACCTCTTGTGGTACTAAAATAAAGCTCAGTTCCTATTTTCCTCCTAACAAAACCCCTTTTCACTTGGTCTCAGGTCAGGCATCTTTTTGAAGCCTTCCTTATTATAAATACCTCTCTGCCGGCAAATTTAGGTGTTTCTCTCTGTGGTGCTTTAGAACATAATCTCATAAATCAGTAAATGATTTCTTTTGTTTATAAGCTCATGAAGAGCATGGGATCATTGTTATAAATCATCTCCCTTTTTGGTCCCCCCAGCTCAATTCTTTGTACATAGTACTCAATATTTGGTCAGTGAATGACTATAAGAAGATTATAGGACCACTTATAGGCTCTATCCACTTAGAACCTGTGAATCAGAAACATAAGCTCCAACTGAAAGATGAATAAGATATATAAGATATAGCTATACTCACACAGATATGCACAGAATAGATAGAAGCATATGATTGTTTTAGAACTAGGAAATCAGTCCTTTCTGTGTATAATGAGGATCAAAAAAAACCCAGTTTAAGGTGAAACCAGTCTTTCACTCATATATTGCTAACCATAAGTCAGTTGCAAACTTTAAGATATAGCAGAAAAGTTACTATTTTGCTCTCTTCATAACTGATCTTATCCACATCACAACGTTTGTTATTATATACAAGAATCAGTCAAAAACTTTATTTCCAGCTCAGACTTCTCTGAGCTGTAGACTCATACAGCCGATGGCCTTCTCTATATCTCCTCTTAGATGGCTCAGAGGCACTTCCAGTTCAACATATCCAAAACCAAATTCATGATATACCTCCACCAAACAAACTTGTTCTCTTCTATCATTACCTCTTTTTCTGTCTGTCCACCTAACTAGCTAGCTCCTTCTGCAAGTCAAGAAGCTAGGACTCATCTTTGACACTGCCCAGATTCCCCATATCAAGCCCCTGTCACTGATTACTGTTGGTCTTACCTCCTGACTCTGAAAGTCAAGAGCGACTCACTACTCTACATCTCTACTGCCACCAACTTAGTGCTACCTTCATTTCTCACCAGGAATACTGTACTAACCTTTTAATTCTTTTTCACATCTACTCTTAACTCCCTCAAGTTTTCTACACCGTTGCTGAGGTGATCTCAATATGCAAATCTGATGATGTCCCTCCTTCTGAAAATAGCAGTGGGTTCTATATGCTTTTATGATAAAGTCCAAAGCTACATGGCACCTACCTAACTCTTCAGTTTCATTTTCTACTTGACTTCTGTACAAGAAGACTTCTGGCTATCTGTAATCCAGACATGCTTGCCAGCTTTTTTCTATTAGTGGATCTTTACATATGCTTTTCTTGCTATTTGGAACATTTCCTTCATCTATTAGTCTAACCCTGACTACTTAATTCCTCTTCATCCTTCTAGTAGCAACTCGTTTATCACTTACTTAGGGACCCCTATTTTGTGCTCTCATAGCATCTTGTAACATTTCTTCTTGGCACTTATCCTAGTTGTAATTTCATTTTTTTATGTGCATTGATTTGATGGATTTTATTTGATCAATAACTGTCCATCTATCCTCTTCACCTGACTGGAAGCTTATTGAGGGCATTGATTGTTTCTCTTTTGCCAATGGTAGTATGTTGAGTACCTAGCACAGAGCAGACACTCCATAAATATTGAATGAATATATGAATCTACTTGTGTGATCTGGGTATATATTAAGATTTCTATTAAATAACTTGGTTAGGCATGAATTTTGCCAAGTTTATATTTTCCTTTAGTCTGTTTCATAGAAATTATATTTTCACTGGATTTGAGGTCAAAATAACTTGGATTTAATTTAATTCAGTGTTTACGTTTTCTTAATTTCTCCCACCTTTGACCTTTTTGCAGTGGTTCCATTCATAATGGCAAGAGACAGTGATGGTCATGAAAACTCAGCAAGTGGTAAAATGTTTGACAAAGAAGCTCTGGAGGAAGATTCAGAAAGTGCTAGTGAAATAGGAGGTGATGAAGAATCTGAAGATGAATTTACAGGCATTTGTAGAGCTGTTGCTGCTGATCTTCATGATGATGATGATGATGATGATGATGATGATGATGATGATGATGGAGGGAATGAAAATGATGATGAGGAGGATGAAGATGAGGATAGTGAGGATGATGATGAAAGTGACAGTGGCCCCGATCTTGCGAGGGGCAAAGGAAATATAGAAAGTAGTTCTGAAGATGAAGAAGATATGGCATATTTACTTCCAGAGGAATCTGGTTTTGAGCATGCTTGGAGAGAATTAGATAAAGATGCTCCTCGGGCTGATGAGGTGACCTTTTGAATAAATAAGATTATTTGTCAAGAGTACAGTAGAAGTAGCTGTTATAGATGGTAGGATTGATGTCATTAAATTAACAAGGAAAAGCTTTATTGATAAATAATACTCTTGATGATGATTCTGATTAAAACTTCTTGATACAGAATATACCTATATAAAGTACATGTCTGTCCAAGCATATAGGGATGAACTTCTATATAAATAATTAAAAGTCGCATGAAATTTTTAGAAAATTCTAGTTTTAACTAGGAGTTTATATTTCAATTCCTATTGCACCTATTAGAAATGCTGTAGATTAATATACTCAGCTTTCCTACTTATGGGTGGCAGAATAGCTTAACAAACTTGATGGTTAAAGAATCAGCTTGTCATGTTCTGATTCAAGAACTAAGAACCAAGTAAGAGAAAGTGCTTTTCTGTTGACAGTTTTACTTTTGTGTGACTCATCTGAAGTTTTCTTTTACATATTGAAACCACTTAAATACTATATTAATGATTTCAGGATTTGGGGAAAAGAAGGCATTATATTTTTACTATCTTAATTTTGCAAGCATTGGGAATGATATAGATTATATCATATTTAATTTTTCTCATTTCTTAGATTACGCATCGATTAGCAGTTTGCAACATGGACTGGGATAGATTGAAGGCAAAAGATTTGCTGGCTTTGTTCAATTCATTTAAACCTAAAGGAGGTGTTATATTTTCTGTAAAGGTGAGAATTGATTTTATTTTGAAGTAAATATTTCTAAGCATTCTAAGTTAAATCTCTTTTTTTAAAGTCATAGTTTTCCTTCTAAGGAAAATAATCTGGAAGTTGTCCAATACAGTTAAGGCACAAAACTGATATAATAGGTATGAAAGTAAGAAAGGAAGAGGTAAAATTATTGCTCGGTTGTATGATTGTGTTTAATTAAAAAAAATCAACTGAAAAGCTGTTATAATAAAGCTCAGTAAAGGGACAAGGTATAAGATAAATATTTTAAAAAATGCTTCATTACTAGAATTAGCAAGAAGAAAAATTAGCAGCAGAAACATATAAAAGCCTTAGAAATTACCTTAAACAATATGACCTACATGAAGTAAGCTATTACACTTGATAAATAATACTTGAAAAACTTAAATTTTGAGATACCATATTTCTTGAGAGCCCGCGTAGGTATTAGGACTCTAGGCTTTGTAGTATGACAGACCTATATTCAAATCTTGATTCTGATACATGCTGTATGATCTTGTGCATTTTATTAATTAATTTCTCAAATGTCTTTTCTCCTCTAAATAGATATAACAATAGTATTTCTTAAGGTAGTGGTAAGGATTAAATGAAAAGAAGATCATGCTAAGTATTTAGTACAGTGCCTGAAACAGCTCTAAATTACTACTGTTCAGTTTAAATATTTAAGATGTCAGTTCTGCAGTTTTAGTATAGTTTCAATCAAAATCTCAGTTCAAATGAAAGTTAAGAAAAAGGTTACCATTAATCATCTAAAAGAATAAACAAGTGAGAATGACTCACAAGTTTTTGAGGAATCATACCAGTATAAAAGGATTCACCCTACCAGTTACAATATCTCAACATTTTATAATGCTACAGAATTTAATAGCTTTGGGTAAAAGTACAGGGACAACTTGATGCAATAGGTAGATAGAAGAGTTTGTATGATAATTTAGAACAAAATAAACTTCTTGAGTACATGGTATTGGAATAAACGGACAAGTCCTTGTGTTGGAGAACTTAGTGCAGGTCCTTGTAATAGCCCCAAATGATAGCCAGATGAAATGAAGAAAAAAATTTTAAAACTACTGGCAGAATAAAATAGAATGGTATTTTTGTTAAATCTTGTGTTTTAGGAGATGGGTAGTAGGAATCTCTGGACTTACAAAGAGGAAAAAAAATACAAAAGAATCAACAGATGTAAGCATATATACTAAAAATTTCTGCATTGAAAGCTATTTTATGCAACTTAGATTAGTAAGAAAAACTTGGATCCCCTAGTGGATAAATTAGATATTTCAAACAACTCAAAAAAGTGTACATTAGTTAATAGATGAATATTAAGCCCAGTTGTATCAAAACAATGCAGATTAATACCATTGTATTTCTTGAATCTCAAAAGTGGCCAAGATAATACCAAATCTAGGTGAGTGTGACTCCTTATACCAAGACTATATATAACCTGTGTGATAAGATTGTCATCAGTTCTTTTTTACTTAAAGAATTTCTTTAAAAGAAAGCATTGGATAAACGATATGATTTTAGGGATAAGTTAGGTGTTACAAAATTATGTTTCTTCATTGTTTTATATATTTCATTAATCATTTTAATGTATCATTTAAATTATTTAATCCAATCATTTTTCACACATGTGTGTGTGTGTGTCTGTGTGTTTATGTATCATTCCTTGAACTTAGAATCTTGTTTCACTTTTCTTAATTTTTCCCTTAGAGCCCAGAATGTATGGAGGAGATATTCTATTTTTGTTCCCAAGCCCACATCTGTTAATCCCTAGCCAAAATGACTATTTTTAAGATTATTCCTGAGGATGCTTTAGCTTCCTATAGTGGGTTTGGAAGTGAAGCATTCTTGCTGTTTTCATTGAGTCCAGTTGTTTAGAGTTCCTGACCTTGACAGGTCTGTATATTATAAAAAAAGGGAAATATAAATTACATTAATCTTACTTTTTTGTGTTTAGATATATGCTTCAGAATTTGGAAAGGAGAGGATGAAGGAAGAGCAAGTTCAAGGACCAGTAGAGTTATTAAGCATTCCTGAAGATGCCCCTGAAAAGGACTGGTATTAAAACACTCTAGAAAATAAAACTAAACCTCATGAGTTTGTGTCACTAGTTCAGAATTCTGGTCACTTTAATAGTTGGGACTAAAGTTTACACTTGTGCCATTCATGGTTAAAACAGGTTTCAAAGCAGGTTAAAGTCTGTCAGAAGTGGCACACTAGTCCAGTAACATTTTTTTGTATTTGTATTTCTATATTCATGAAAATTATTATTGCAGTTTTAAAAACATGTCATGACTAAACTGATTTAGAGGTCTCAGCCTCATTGCCCTGAATCAGTAAGTTTTGCTTTTTTTCTGAGATGTTGCTTTTTATGTAAATGGAATTGAAACTATTTGCCTTCAAATTATGTAATTTCTCTTATTTAAGGATTAAATAGAAAAATACAAGAATAGTAGAAAAAGTTCTTAATCATTGTAATGTAGTATAGAAAAAAGTTTAAGGTAGTTTTTAATCCACTAGGTGGAGCTATATGTGCACTTAATAAAAATTGGTGGCAAAAGAGAGCAGATGAAGACCCTCAAAGAATATGCTGTAGTTAAGTAAGTTGAATTTATACCACGTAGACTTGACAACACCTGAATAAAGTTTTACTAGATCAGTAATTTCTTTATAATAAAAGCTAATGCTTTCCTAGAATATTTTATAATACGGTGATCCTCTCTAGTGGTTTTACTTGAGAAGGCTGTATGTGATAGCAAAACAAACAAAAAAATAGCTATTCTAAGAATTAAAATCACAGGTAAGCACATGTAGTTCTTGCTTTCCTTTTCTAGATATCAAACTCCAGTCAAAGTCCCTGGTCTGTACCTTGTCAAAGTAATAAATTGGGCTTAAGTATTTAATGTTCATGAAGGCAAAATCATAAAGGAAGGTTGGATTGGAATAAAAACCAGTTTGTAATTTTTTTTTCTTGGAACAATTACATTTATTTTTTAAAGGGAGAGAGTATTTGTCTTCCTGTTTAAGTAAGCCTAATGAGTTTTTCCCCTTTTAGGACCTGTAGAGAAAAACTGAGAGATTATCAATTCAAACGACTGAAGTACTATTATGCGGTAGTAGACTGTGATTCTCTTGAAACAGCCACTAAAATTTATGAGGATTGTGATGGCCTGGAATTCGAAAGTAGTTGCTCGTTCATAGATCTCAGGTAATCTAGTGTGTGTTGTACCAATTTAATCTTGTAGCACAACATGATTATAAGAATTGAAATATTAGAACTGGTAGTGCTCTCTGTCCTTTCACATTCTAAGAGGATTTTTTGCTTTTGGTGAACTTTCTTGTAGAACATCACTCTTAAGAAAGAAAACTGGAATGAGAAAATGCTAAAGTATTAGGTATGAGTCACCTCACATTTATGTCCTTTCAGATATGTCAAATATGTTTTTAGGATGATGGGTTTTATGTAGCTATTTCTTTGCAGCTCTCTTTTAGAACTAGGAACCAGGGTGAAGTAACTTTTTAAAAAGCATTGAGGTGGAGGCAAAGGAATTTACTTGTAATAAACTAGTATCTCTTGATCTGTGCCATCCAATACAGTAGTCAGTAGTCATATCTGGCTTATTTACATTTATTTAATTAAAAATTTAAAAAAGCTTAAACTCATTTGCTTAGTCACACTAGGCACATTTCAAGTACTTAATGACCACATGTTGGACAGAACAAATACAGAACTTTACCATCATCACAGAAAGTTCTGTTGGGCAGTGCTGCTCAGTGAATGGTGTTGCTGGCTTTATCTTCAGACTTGGGCATTATTTCCACCACGTACTCAGGCTTCACTGACCCAAGCTGAAAAACCTTAGGTGTTTGGGAATGTCTGTTCTAAGGAAACCGGGAAGCCGAACTACTGTACCATTTTATCATTAGCCTAGTTCTTTGAACCCAGTGAACCATTTTACTGCGACATTTTCAATAGAAATCACTTGTTTGTATCCAGGTTTGTTAGTGGCTTTGTTCTCAAAATGAAATATTTTATGGAAAAAAAATGCATCAATTGATAATCACTGTGACTTTCACACTTTAAAAGCATTCCAACTTGTAGAAGAATACAAGTAAAATTTTTTTTTTTTTTTTTGCCGTATGCGGGCCTATCACTGTTGTGGCCTCTCCCGTTGTGGAGCACGGGCTCCGGACGCGCAGACTCAGTGGCCATGGCTCACGGGCCCAGCCGCTCTGTGGCATGTGGGATCCTCCCGGACCGGGGCACAAACCCGTGTCCCCTGCATTGGCAGGGGGACTCAACCATTGCGCCACCAGGGAAGCCCACAAGTAAAATTTTTTGTATTGATAATTTAGGGTAAGAGTTTAGCATGCTTAAGTATATAGCAAGAAGGGCATATCTCATCAAACAAGACATTTCCTTCTCTTTTCTGTTAACAGTTTCAAAAGGAGGTACTTGTTTTGGATATATAAATAGTAGTTACCAAACATTTGTTAGAATGTCAAACTCTGCGTATCATGAGTTCATGTTCTCATGTTCTTTTCAGGATCATTTTATTCTTTCTGTTTCCTTTTTGGGGCATTTTTATGCAGTATTAGAATAAACTCTGGCAGTACCTAGAAAATAAGATCAATGACCATGGAAAAACTTATATTCCCTGTTTTATTTTGTCATATATAATTTTATAAAAGAAAATTGAATTTTCTGCTGCCATCCTGTTATCTAGGGCAGGGGTTCCCAATCCCTGGGCTGCAGGCTGGTACTGGTCCACAGCCTGTTAGGAGCCAGGCTGCACAGTAGGAGGTGAGCGGCAGGCGAGCAAGCGAAGCTTCATCTGCTGCTCCCCATTGCTCCCTATCACTCGCGTTACTGCCCTAAGCCTAACACCCCACCCTCACCCCCCGTCCGTGGAAAAATTGTCTTCCACGAAACCGGTCCCTGGTGCCAAAAATGTTGGGGACCACTGATGTAGACCTAATGAACCTTAATTATTCATTCCTCCCCTCAAAAATGATTTTTGATGCAATATACAGCAGGTGCTTTTTCATGTGTGGAAATAAAATCTCCTATATAAATGACAAAACCTAAATATAATAACCATGAATCATTTCTCTTTGCTTTTTTCCTCCCACTCCTTAGCCTGATGGCTAAGAATTGTCAAACAATTACAGTGACTGATTTACATTTAACAGCTATTTATTTGTGAAAAAAATTATAAAATTGTTAAGATTTTTTTAGTCTTGAAGAATCAACCTTAAGCTTTTCCTTATTTTCAGTGACACCTCATATGTATGATACTTTATATTCAGAGCACTTACCCATTAATAATTGTATTTGATCTTCAGAATATCATATAGCAAGCCAATGACTGAGCTATCAGGAATCTAGGTCTTTTTGAAACATGAGGGGCCCATGTGTGTTTACACCTGACTCATATTAACTGACTCCTAACGCAGGGTTTCTGCCTACACAGACTTCACTCAAATTTGGTGGAATTACAGATTTATAGCTTAGGAATTTCAGAAATTTTGTGCCAAGGTTATTTCTAACATTGTTTGCTTCATCTACATGTGTGTTCTGTAGAATCTCTTATATGGTGTGTATGTATACACTATACCTAATTAGAAGAGAATCTAAACTCTGGTTGTTTATCACTGCAGCATATGTTTAAATAAATTTATTTTTTTCTTTGTTTCTTAGGTTTATACCAGATGATATTACTTTTGATGATGAGCCCAAGGATGTAGCCTCAGAAGTGGATTTAACAGCATATAAGCCAAGATATTTCACATCTGCTGCAATGGGAACATCAACGGTATTTCTCAACTTTAGAAAATATATAGCTGGACTCAATTTTTTTAAGAAAAGAGTTATTTACTTACAGCATCTTTAGAAATGGAAAGGATTCAAAATTTTAAAGCATAAGTACAAATAGAAATCAAACACAGGTGTATTTGCATTTTTATCTCCCGCATGTGTTGGAACCTATTTTCAAATTTTTGTTATGCCTTTAAGCCTGAGTCAATTACCTGCAAATGTTCTTTTTTCTCTTCTATCTTTCCCATAGAGTGTTACTTAACTAGATTCTTTAATAAGTAATATGTTAGTTATTAATATCCTAGGGAGTAGGGGTAAGGAGGTAACAGATTACTTCAAATCACAGTTAAAACCAGTGGAAATTTAAAATAGAAACACATTTTTTCTGCAGATATGATCCAAAATTCTAAAAACAATTGAAGTAGAATAATTCAGGACTACTAGATGTCACATTAATGCTTAATAATGAACAGCCAAAAGATTTTTATTGAATTAGTTTGTTACTTAGCTGCCTAGTTTCTCTGCTCTTCTACTCCATATACCTTCTATCCACAGCTGGACTCTGCAGCAGCCATACAGGCTTCTCATTGCCTTTTTTGTAACAAGCCACTGTGCTCTTCTGAGGATAGGCTGGTGTCAGAAAGAGAGCTGCTGTATCTGTCACCTGCAGCCTGTGGGTACTGTGTGGCCTTAATTAGTTACTGAGTACAGGGAAACCCCACCAGTATGCAATAAGTGAAGTCTAAAAGATTCAGTCACATAAAATGTAGGATCATGTTATTTTCAAGACTGAAAAATGGGCAAGCCTATCCAGCCAGCCAGTCTGGAGTTCCTATGGTCTGGCTGTATCATCCACATCTGTTCCAGTTCCATCAGTGGTTTTGTGGTTATCAGCTCAGTCTTAATTATTGGAATAAGAGTAATTCTGAATGGTGACTAGCTGGAATTTCTCTGACAATGGCAACTGTTTTAAGGATTGGAACTCTTGGTGCCCATTTTGTTGTCCTGAACTGGAAAGATTAGCCTGAGGGGGAAAAACAGCAAGGATGTGGGACCTGCCCTGTGATGAAGATTAAACCTCTAACTGGACTCTGAGAATGGGGGCTACATAGAAGACAGGAGCCAATCACAAGACCGATGATGTTATAGATGAATTCCTGTGTTGTGGGGGTTTACTGTACTTCCAACAAATAGATGCCTTTTCCATCAGTGGCTCTTAATCTCTTTTGGAAAATGGACCACACTGACGTTGTGTTGAAAGCTTTATCAGCAAATTTCAGACAGTTTGTAGACCTCCTGAAATGCCTAGAACTCCAGGTGAAAAACATGTCTTGACTCATTCATAATAATGTTACTTTTTTCACTAGTGCATTTTCTTGTTTCTTTTCACCACAATCAGTCCATACACTGATGAATTTTTACTCCAAATAATAGAGTACCTTGCATATAGTAAAGAGTTAGGAGGATGAAGGCACAGGTTAATTGAAATGGTTCCCTTTCCACAGGTAGAAAACTTTTCATTAAGCATGTTATTTATTATTTGTTTTAGCACGTCTTAACTTTTTTAGTTTACTGTTAAACATACAAATTAACGATAAATATTCTTTAACAAGTTTGGGTTGCTGACATTTCCATTTTTATTTTATTTGTTGTTTTTTTTCTTATTCATTGGTGAAAGGTGGAGATCACTTGGGATGAGACAGATCATGAAAGAATTACAACACTCAACAGGAAGTTTAAAAAGGAAGAGCTTTTGGACATGGATTTTCAAGCCTACTTAGCTTCCTCTAGTGAAGACGAAGAAGAGATAGAAGAGGAGCTACAAGGTACTGTTCATCTTTTGGTGTTCTACATTTGTAAGCATTTGGATACCTAAACTAGACTTACTAATGGAAATAAGTTTGACAGTAGCTTAAAAGGGAATATCAAACTAATCTTCAAACTGTCTGTGAAGTAAGCTCACGTACACAGTATTATATACACCTTTAGATAGTAATTGAAATTTTTTGTTTAAAGGTATTTTCTTAGCCTGAATTTCTTTAACCAAAAACTCTTTGAAACCCTGACCTCACAAAAAAGTCTGGCCTTTTAGACTAGTCATGATTGTTGTAGTAATGCAATCACTTAAACTAGTAAAATGCTTTATTACCCCCCCCTTTTTAAACTAAGAACTTCTTTTGGATTATTTTTTACATTCCATTTTTCTGCTCAATTAGTTTACAAAGTAGACTCTTTCTGTCCATTTAGTGATTATCCTAGAAATCATGACTTGTGTCCTTATTAAAGTTTAATGCTAATTAATATTTTTATCCTCCTAGAGAATACAAGGAATCTTAAAACAACTTTCATGCTATTCTGTATATTGTAATTCTTAAGTCCCATAGGACATTAATATTACTCTTTTGTTTAAATTTACCCACATTTTCCATACTACTTTTGCTCCTTATTCTTTTCTAAATCTCATACTTCTGTCGGATCATTTTCCTTCTGCCCTAAGTATATCTTTGATAATTTCCAGTAGTATCTACTGGTGTCAAGCTCTTGAATTTTAGTTTACTCTAAAAATTTCCTTTTTTGCCTTATTTCTGAAGATATCTTCACTGGTAAAAAAATTCTAGGTGGACAGTCCTCCTGTCTCCACATTGAGGATAATATCCTGCTGGCTTCTGGCTTCATTGTTGTTTTTGAGAAGTCAGCCGTCGGTCTACTTTTTTGAGTCTTTTGAAGGTTGCCTGGATTTTATTCATTGACTGCTTTTAAAGTTTTCTCTTCCTTTTTGTTTTTCTGCAGTTTTAATATGAACTAAGAATAGATTTTTTTAATTTATTGTGCTTGGGGTTGGTTGGGTTTCTTGCATTTGTGGCGTGGTATCTTTCAGTCAGTTTTGGAATATTCTCAGCCATTATCTGTTCAGGTGTTTCTTCTCCCCTCTCCTCTGGGACTCCAATTAAATATATGTTAGATCGTTTCACTGTAACTTCCATGTTGTTTCTCTCCTGTATTTTTTATCTATTGTATTTCTGTGTTGCTTTCTGAATATTTTTTCTTAGCTATCTTCCAGTCCACTAATTCTCTTTTCAGCAGTGTTGAATCTGCTGATGGACTGTTCATTGAGTTAATTTTGATTATTATATTTTTTTACTTGTAAAAGTCCAGTTTGACTATTTTTCAGGTCAGCAATATCAACTTTTTAACGTTTTTTACTCATTGCAGTTATTTTCAGTGCCTTCTTTTATTTCTGTAAACAGAGGAAACATGTTTTTGTAGTGTATGTCTGATAATTTCAGTATTTATTTCAAATCTTTTGGAGTTGATTTCTGTTACTTTACAAGATACTTCTCCTGTTCACTTGTATGCCTGGTTAACTTTTTGTGCCGGTTTGATATTTGAGGTGAGAGTGTCTCATCAGAGAGGACTTTCATTTACTCTGGTCATTCTGGAACCACATCACTCCAAATTTTAAGACTTGAGGTTCCCTGGACCTAGTGGGCAATGCAGGTCTGTGTGAGAGCTAGTTTACTTCTGGTTGACCCTTGCCCTGGAGTATATCCTTTTGGGTCCCTACTGTGGGACCCAAATGTGGGGATACTAGCTGGGTCTTTAACTTTTGTCTTCTTAGCCTGCCAGGCTGCCAGAACTGTAGGTTAGTCTCACAGCTGTTTCTTTGGTAGATCAGTACATGCACTCAGGGCAAATAGGTCTTGAACACTGGGGTCATCTCTCTGATCACCATCTTCTTGATTTTGACTTGGTAATTCTTCACTAATTTGTCAGTTCTTTGAAGTTTTCTTTTTTTCTTTTTTAAATCCCTCTGAATCTTTTAAAAAGATTTTTTTAAACACTTCATCCAGCTTGATGTCCTCAGTAAAATGGTTGGTCTGAAGTGTACCTAGCTTCCCATTAATGGAAGCAGAAGTTCTCAGATTGTCTATATCTTTATCTAAAAATTTTTTTGACGATTAAAATGATTGATGGTGTATTTTTAAATTATATATGTTGTTTGCTTAAAATAGCTCATTTTTTTAAAATAGGGCCAAAAAACCCCTTTTCCCTTATATTGGATCTGGCTCTGTTTGGAAATTTGGTTGCTTGATTGTAATTTCTTATTAGTTTTTGGTTGATACTCTCTCCCAGATATCTTCACACTTTCATTTTTGTTTATTAGATGAATTCTCAACCATGCATAATTATGAGTAAGATAGAATTATGTGCTGACAGCAAATGAACCATAAAAGTTAAACATAAGGTATTTTAAATTAGCAGGAGTGAATATTCTTACTTTTATTTATAGCCTGACATTTTTCATACCTGTCCTTTTGGTTTCTCTTTTGCATATATATTGTTTTTATAATTTACAATTTTGTAAATGTGAAATTAAATAAATCCTAAAATGCTTCTTTAGTATTATCATAGGACCATTAAACCTTAACTTTCTTAAGATCCTATGATTTTAGGCTATTGAAGATATTGCTTCACTGATCTAAGTTTTTCATAAATTACTACTCTTGAACTCTGTTTACGCATTGAATGGAGAATCATGTTTAATCATTCCAGTTTCTTTGTTCAGAAATCTCATATTAATAAAACCACATAATTTCTTAGGTATCTAATAATCTTTGAAAAAGTATATGATTTGCAGTGGTAGTTATATGGACACAAAAGCCTTCATATTTAAGGCCTTGATGGCTGTTGCTTGTTAATTTCTTTGGCATTCCAAACAGTTGAGTGACCATGTTATTTTTAGTGTATACAGAACAGCTGAGTCTTTCTCAAATAGCCTTTACATTTTTTACCCCCATAGATACACTAATTTATCTACATTTTCTTTTATTTATATACTATATGGTCATTTAACACTTTTCTGAAAATTCTGGATAGTTTTTCTTTAGTAGCAGCTCTAAGATAAAGGAAAAAATATCATTCCGTGTATTCTTAAGAGGATTGAATACAAGTTTTTCAAATAGGTTTTCTTTGTTTGCTTTGGGAGAACTTAACTAGATTTTGAAATGACATTATTGAATACATTAGGGCAGTAAATATTATGGGAAGATAACCATTAATTTGTCAATATATTCTTGTTAAGGTCTTGGGCTTTGCTGATTCAATTCCTGACTTCACCACATAGTGAAGTTACTTAGGTTGGGTTTTCTTAGCCCTCAAGCCTTTTCTTTCCAAACGTATGAAATGAGGATCATAATAGTACCTGCTCATAGTTGGAAAAATTGAGATAATGTATGTAAAGTCTTAGCATACTACCTCATGTCATATGTCTTTACTTCTAAAACTTTAAGGATTAATGGCTTTTTGTTTGAAATATACTAATTAACTTTTTTAAAGCATGCATTTTTATTTTTCTTCAGTATTTTAATTGATTGCAAAGTCATTTTAATCTATAGTTTAGTACCTCTGATAGATACATTTAGTATATTTGAATGCCTTAGAGTTACTATATGTTCCTGTTGTAGTTTATAAGAGATTATACCAGGGTTTCTTACATTTACAGTTAATTTTTTTCTCCTTTTATATTATTAAGGCTTTCACAAAGTTTTGTCCTTGAATTGGGAAAAAACAGACTTCCATGAGTTAACCCACATTTTAGAGATTCAGAAAGTAAAATTTTAGTACTGGAAAAAAATCAATTTAAAGTAGGCCATCAGAGACTTACCACTAAAATTTCAACCTGGAAGGAGCTTGCTTCTAATTATATTTTCAGAAGTAAGCATTTAATAGAAAGAAATACATTGCCATTTTGTTAATGTGTTCCTGATGTTTTATCCATTGAATTACGGGATACATGACAGAATTCCATCCAACATTATTATTGTGGCACAAAGCACAAACAGGAAAAAAATGAATTTCAGCTGTTTGAGTGAAAATGTAAAAGTGTGATAGGATGGAAAGAATGTCGTGGACTATTTCTTATTCATTTAGAGAAAAAAACTATAAAAACATTTACTTAACCAATTTTTTTCACATCACCTTTTTGAAAATGTAAGGACAGTCTGTTAACATTGATGTTTCACAGCTGAATGCTTAATAATGTCAGACATATTTAGTGACCAGTTAGCCGTAGCTCATAGAAGGGAGGGTCTTCTGTATGCTACTTCTAAATTTTCCTATACTGGGGACATTTAGTTAATTCAGTAAGTATGTTTTGCATTAAAACCCAGGTTCTTAATTTATGTTTTTGACTTGGAGAATTACAGTGGAAATATAGAGCAAACAAACTTTTCACGTATTAGTTTTCTTTTGTATTTTTTGCCCATGAATTTTATACTGTTCCGTTGTATTATAATTATTTTTATGAAATTAGGAAATGTAAACGTGAATATTTTCCACATGAGGAAATTAATTGCACAAACTTCTAATTTATTCATTTTTATTCTTAATGTATTAATGAGATCCTGAGAGTAAGGATGCTTGCTCACTATCAAATGGAAAGGACTCATTATTCTTTGTTTTGGATTACAGGCAACTTCCTTTATCTGTATCATCAGCATGAATGGCTAAATCCATTTATCAGATGCATCTCAACACTATTCAGGCTCCTTTTATTGACCATACATTTTAAAGCCACACTGTTGGATGGTGGGAGACATAAAGAGGAAAAAAGTGCCATCCCTGCTATCTTGCTTGCAGGGCGGAAAAGTCTAAGGATGTTACATGACTACAGGATTATTTTGAAATATGAATTTTAATAAAAAGAGATTCCCAAGTGTAATATTGTGACCATGCTAACTTATATTGCAACTGATTTTTATCATAAACAAGACCTAAGTCATTTAACTCATTTTGTATTAAGAAATTTAAGTCTGATTTTGATATTCTATTGTTATAGTGTATCTGACATTGTTTAGAAGGGTGCTGCAGTGACTGAGATTAAACACTGAAGTTAGAAGTAAATTATTTCTGTGTATTAAATGAAATTGATTTTTTTGTTAGGTGATGATGGAGTCAGTGTAGAAGAAGGTGGGAAAACAAAAAGAAGCCAGAAGGATGATGAAGAACAAATTGCTAAATATAGGCAGCTCTTGCAAGTTATTCAAGAAAAAGAAAAGAAAGGCAAAGAAAATGATATGGAAATGGAAATTAAGTGGGTTCCAGGTAAGACTTAGATACTAACTAAATGTTCACTTGTTTTCCTTCGTTTGGGGATGTTGGATATAAAAGAAATGAAGATCAACTCTTTGGAAACATAAACTTTAAAAAATCACATTTTCAAGGAGTGTTTTGGTGAGGAAGATAACATGATATCTGCATGCATGATTTAATTCACTTTAGCACCAGCGTTTTCTACTCCTGTGGCTTATTCTTTGTCTCTTTAATTTACTAACTACAAATTATCCATTTATAAAAGTAGACCTTTCCTAGGTTTGATTCCAGTATTCCCAGGTTATAGAAATTTGAATCCAGGCACCATGTATTCTAAAGTCATTAAACTTTTTTTCAAAATATGTTATTAATAAGTGGACTTTTCTCCAGTAACTGCTACTAGACTTTAATTAGTGAGGTTTCACTAACACAAAATATGTAATACATAGTTTTCCATCTCAGTTGTGCAATGTTTGAGTATTTTTGAACAAAGAAGTATAGCATCGTAAGTGGTTTTTATAACTGCCTTGAAGAGTTCAATAACCCAATACTAGTACAATAACATTAAAACCATGTCAAAGCTAAACAAAGAAAAAGCTAGGATAAAGGAGGGGGGTTTTCTAGCATATGCATTTTTTCTTAACCATCCTGGGCAAATCAGCATGTACCTTTGCAAATAATGTGGGGTTTTTTTGCAAATTACTGCTTTTTACATATATGTATATCTTTTAAAGGTAGGTATAATTTTTGACAAGGATTCAATTCTTTTAGCCTCAATTCGTCTCTAGATGAAAAAATACTACTTATAGCACCATTGCATTAACTGTTCTATATTCAGTTACTTCTGTTTCTTACACTAGTATGTTTTTGCACTGAGAGTAAAATATCTGTTAGGTTGTTTTTATTTGAGGGGGCGGAAACTAGGATATTTTGATATTTGAGGATTGATTGACTCTTGCAGTAAATTTATTAGGATATACACATATCTTCTGCCTATTTCTATAGGAACATGGTGCTATGTTATAACCCATTTGTTTTAAATGTTTGGCTTTTGCAGGAAGTGGTGGTAAGAAAAAATGAAGTTTAGTAGTGTTATCCTATGAACAGTGGTTGAGAGAACTCAATTAATTTAGCTTGGAGAGGAAAAGTCTAAAAAGTGACTTAATAGTAATTTTCAAGTACTTGGAGGCTGAGTATGTAAACAGAGACTTAATCTCACACACTACCTCAGAAGTCAGTGCTTTTACCAGTGGATAAAAGTTGAAGGAAAGTAGATTTCAGTGTAAGGTAAAGAGGAATTCTCTATATCATTAGGATTGTTCATCAGAAGAGCACAGAGGCTGCTTTAAGGAGTTGAGTGTCCTTTGTCAGTAAGTCTCACAATAAGGCAATACAACCATACCACTCAGAGATGTGTGAAGAAATTTTTTTATATGAGGTCCTTGGATTTATGATTCCAAGAAATGTTGAATTTTGTCTTTTAGTCAAGTATGTTGTAATTGTAGCTTAATTCTAATCTTAGAATGAGCTTATTGAATGAAGATATTTTAAATGAACATATTTTAAATTGAGGTATTCAGGTGACTATTTGAGAAAGAAGATTTAAAATAAAGTTGATTGCAGAGTTTTATATTAAATATTTTAGAGCTATATTGAGTGGGCCAGATCTAACCTTTGTCTTTATTAATACAGTTATGTAGTGCAAATACCAAAAAGTGATACATAGGAAGATTTAAGCAGTACGGTTTTCCTAGGATAAACCTCACTTAGTCATGGTTCTTTGTACTTTTTTTATATTCCTGGACTCAGTTTAGTAATGTTTCATAACAGATTTTTGAACCTGTGTTAATGAGGAATATTTGTCTATAGTTTTCGTTTCTTGAAATGTCCTTAATTAGCTTTTGGTATCAGGGTAATGCTGATCTCATGTGATGAATTAGCAACTGTTCCCTTTTATATTTAGCAGTACATTTTTATCTTGACTTTGCTATTTGTGGATGTGATATTAATGTCATATAAAATATTTTGAAAATGTAAAATGAAAAATTAGCATCTGTAATTCCATTACCCTTATTCAGCCACTGAGTGATTAGGTAGATTGTGGTTTAATTTATCATTTTTCTATTGTTGAATATTTAGTCATGTTTCTGATCTTTCATTACAATAGGCCCATGGCATTGAAAAGAAATTTGATCTAAGGCTGTTACCATTCCCAAACCCACAAATATCAGTACTTCCTTAGATCTCTTCACTTTTATCACCAGCCAAGTAATAGGCTTGCTATTTTAGGGCCTTTTACTTATAAAAACAATTTTTTAACAAAGATGCTTATTCCCACCCACCCACCCCATTTTAGAAACGTCTGTGCATGTGAGAACTTGTAGAGACCACAAGGAGAAGCTAATGCTGGCAGTCAGGCTCACTCATCAGTTAGTAACATGACTTCCTCACTCACATAGCCGCTTTACATATGCTATGGATCAACCTGTGGTTCTCTCACAAGCTGTTAAAACTACCAGTGTCTAAGCCTCAAATTTAAAATCTCAGATGCCAAACATCTAGAATGTTATAAATAATCTATAGCTTTTTCCATATTTTAAATTATTTTCGTAGGCTAGCTTCCCAGAAATGGAATTAATAGGAAAGGACACGGACACTTTTTGTGTCTTGAGGTTACTGCCAAATTGCTTTCCAAAAGGGTTGTACCGGTTTTTAATGCCTTCAGCAATGATGAAAGTGCCAGTTTCATGGAATTATCATCAACGTTCGCTATGTAATTTTTACTCTTAGATGAATGAAGGAAAGTTGATATTTTGCTATATAATGCATTTTTTAAAGTTTTTAACCATAGTATTTTTGAAGGCCCCGTATGGGGTATTATTACCCTGTGAATCTTTGGTATGGACGTGCACACAAGTGCGTGCGTACGTTTTCTTTGTGTATGTAAATGTAAAGGGTCTTTTACATACTAGACATGTTAAGTGAGAAAAATGAACTACTCTTTCAGGATCTCAGTTTACTTATTTGGAAAGTGGGACTAATAATACCTTTCTTGCTTAATTTGAGATATTATAGAGTACTTTGTAAGCTACACAGTACTATTCATGTCACACGTGTATTTTGTTGAATTTGTGTCTTAAGAAATGTATGTTCCCAGTAACAATTACCCTGAACCGCAGGACTTTTTTGATGTTATACTTCAGTAAACCACAGAGGGTCAGTATGAGATTATAGTATATCATGCATCAGTTTTTCTGTGGCTTGAATTTCCAAAATATTAAACTGCAGAAAAATAAGTACTCTTAATAATCACTAACAGTTGCTGCACTTGGCGTGGCTTGAAAGAAATTTTAGTTTAGACTGTTTAAACTTCCTATCTTTTCACGTTGGATTATACAGTGTAGTAACATTAGGAGTTTAATTCTTCGAGGGTAAGTGTTAAGGGAGGCAGATAACAGGTACATGGGTGTAACAACTGGAGTGAACTACTCTTTCTTTTGATGTTTTAGTTTCTCATGGAGGTGTGATAATACAGCGTTATTAATTGAGATTATAAATGATTAAAAATGTTGAATTTTAAGATTTTTAAGGAACGTTGTAATTCATTGTTTTGATGTGGAGTAACATTGCCCATCTCAATGTGTTGCTAATAAGGTATCCTGCCTGACTCATTTTGATGAGTAGAGAAAGTAACACATGTAATTAGCATATTGAGACTTTATCGATGAATGTGCTTCATTAGGGAATTTGTAATATACATATAAATAAAGCATAATGAGTTTTATCTCATATATTAAATAACCTCCCCTAATAATTTATGTGATAATAATTTTTTGTTGTAGATACTGCAAGCCGTGTATTTTAATCTTTGAAATTTCATCCAGCATATGAACAGATAATGACATGTTTCTTTGTCTATAATCTTAAAGGAAATTAGATATGATAAAAGTCCTCTTTTTCTTAGTTATCTCCTGATTAATAGACACAGGTGAAAAGGATGTCTGGTCTTTTTTCTACTCATCATCCTGCAGTGCCTGAACTTTCCTTCAAATATTGAGCATATGCCAAGAACCATTCTAGACACCATGTGAGCAAAACATACAAATCCTTGACCTCATAAAGCTTATATTTCTGGTTAAGGGGAGACAGATAAGTCTTTAGTAAGAAAGATATTTGAGCAGAGACTAAAGGAAGTGGAGGTCGGGGGTGAGCCATGCAGAGGAGATTGTGCGAGCAGAGGGGTTAGCAAGTGAGTGGCCTTGAAGCTGTGGCTTATCTAGTGTGTTTGAGGAGCAGCACAGAGAACAGTGTGACCACAGTGAGTGAGTGAAGGAGAGAATAATGGATGATGTCAGAGAGTTAATGGGGCCAGATCATGAGGGTCTTGCAGACCATTTTAAGGGCTTGAACATCTCTGAGTGAGATGAGAAACCATTGGAGTATTTAAGCTGAGGAGCAATAAGATCTGACTTGGTATTTTTCCAGTTTTATTGACATATAATTGACATATGTTACTGTATACGATTAAGGTGTACAGCATAATAGTTTGACTTACATATATTGTAAAATGATTACTGCCATAAGTTTAGTTAGCATCCATCATCCCATAGATACAATAAAAAGAGGAGCTGACTTATTTTTAACAGGACCAATCTGGCTGCTCTACTTGAGAGTAGATTAAAGTGGCAGGGAGGGACAAAATTGGGGAGATCAGTCAAAAGGCTATTGTAATAATCCTGAGATAATAAAGATTGTGGGTTGGACAGGTTTTCAGGGGAACTTCAGAAATTCTCTTCGTCACATGTAAGGTGCCTATTATATATTGAAATAGACATGCCAAGGAGATAGTTGGATATCCAGTTTAAAGTTCAGGGAAGAGGTCAAGACCGGAGATATAAATTTGAGAATCTTCATTGTACAGACCTCTGTAAGTAAAGAACACCAACGGAGTGATTGTAGGTAGAAAAGAAAAGAGGTTCAAAAATTGATCACTTGGAGTACTCCAGCATTTA